TAACAAGCGTCTCAACAACATCCTCACCAAGGCGAAAGCGGACCTCGTCTCAGGGAAGGAGCGATATGACACTGACATGGCTAAGAAAGATGGAGAGATTCTTTCACTGAAGACTGACCATGATCAGCAGATAGCGGCTTTGAAATCCGCAGAGAACAAGCTACGACTTGACCTTCGTCGCTCAGAGAAGAACGCACTTAAAGCAGCTAGCGCAGGAGCCATCAAGAGGCAGTGGGCAATGGTTAGAGACCTCAAGATGGGTCAAGCTCATACATGGGACGTTCGTGCTGCAGAGGAGGCCTATCGTGAGGTTTTGACAGCGGAAGCCAAAGCGGAAGGGAAGGTACCACCCGTTTTCTCTGCGACATTTACTGACTTTGAGAACGAAGCTCCTACTGGTGGGATACTTGGTGGTGATACTTATGGTGGTCTTCCCCTTGGTGGTGATCAGTGATCTCGCGTTTGTCGTTTATCGTTTCTACTAGCAGTTTCCTTGAACTCTGGTTTTTAGTATTGTTTCAAACTTTTCTTTTGGAGCTCCTCTGTTTAAGGTTTGTTGCTCTGACGAGTGACCATGTAGGCTCTCAGCTAAACTTTTGTGGTTGTCTTTTGGATTTTAAGTCGCTTATCGAACGCCTTAATCATTTGGTATTTAACCATTGTTGATTTTTTATATAATTGTGTTTTATATATTCAACAGTTATTTATATGTGTACGTACGTAACGTTATTTTCCTTTGGGCTATATCCTTATTCTCGAGGTTAAGAGTGACAATAGTCTCTCTACTCGATTTGAGGATGTTTTGCTCTTGGCTGTTGGTGACATTTAGCGCCAATGGAGTAAACCAAGGCTGCTGGTTGTCGCTCTCTCGAGGATATCGTACCTCGTGTTTGACCATATCGACACAGACGGTGCGCAATATAACCAAATTCAGTATAAGAAGCTTTAAACGTGAATAATATTGCTATGCGCATGTCACTGTTTTCTGCTTTCGAGGAGGGCGTTCTCCTTCCTATCGTGCAGAACTTTCGTTCGTTCCTTGGTGTGTTCAAGGACATGACACTTGCCTTTTGCAATGTGGTCTAAGGTCGATTTATTCCTGAGGCATTGCCCCCTCTTTTTTTTTATCTTTTTTTTGGTCGGTCGTCACTGTGTTCCGACTGTCGCTTATCTTTCTTATGCCTTATGACGAGTGACAACACGAGTTACATCATAGTAGAATCAATTTGTAGAAAACTTCTTATTAGAAAGCTTGTCCGTAGACATAAGCAAATACATAAAAGTAGATAAAAGCATCGACGTCACATGGATCGTCTAAAAACTCAGTAACACCAAATCAAAACCAAAGAAAAAGCCAAAACATCAAATTATCAAACGAACCTAGAATTGGTAGGTTTTGAGGTGCAAAGCATTCCAGCTGTTAGGTTGATTCTTCCCATCCTTATCTTGTAGCTTGTATGCACCTGATCCTCGCACTTCTGTTATCTTGTAGGGACCTTCCCAAGTCGGCCCCAGTTTTCCAGCACCACGTTCCATCGTGTTTTGAAAGACGCGCCTGAGTACCCATTCGCCAACTTGGAAAGTCCTAGTTCGCACGTTTTTGTTGTATCGTCTTGCGATGTCCTGTTGGTAGCACCAGTTTTGAATCCTTGCAGTTTCCCTTTTCTCATCGAGTAGGTCGAGGTCGAGCTTCATCAGCTCCTCGTTTTCTTGGTATTGTAGATGCTCTGTTCGTATCGTTTTCACAGTGACTTCAGATGGCACTACCGCTTCCATCCCGTACACTAGAGAATAAGGTGTTTCCCCAGTTGCTATTTTGGATGTCGTTCGATAAGCCCACAACACGCCAGGGAGCTCTTCTACCCACTTGCCTTTTGCGCTTTCAAGCCGTTTCTTCAACATCTGTATAATGGTTTTGTTTGAAGATTCAGCTTGTCCGTTGGATTGTGGGTGCCTGGGTGTCGCGAAGCTAAGCTTTATTCCCCACGTGATACAGTAGTTTTTGAAGTTGTTGCTCGTAAATTGAGGGCCATTGTCAGTGACAATCTCTTGAGGAACTCCAAATTTGCATATGATGTTCCTCCATATGAAACCTCTGACTTCTTTATCTGTGACTTGACTAAATGCCTCTGCTTCCACCCACTTAGAAAAGTAATCAGTCATTACCAAGAGAAACACCTTTTGTGCTGGCGCTGTTGGTAGTTTTCCCACTATGTCCATGCCCCATTTCATGAATGGCCATGACGAACTTATGCTTTTCAAATTCTCTGGAGGTAGTTTCGACACTTGAGCATGTCTCTGACACTTGTCACATTGACGAGCGAATCTTGTCGCGTCATTCGACATCGTCGGCCAATAGTATCCGGCTCTCACCGCTCTTAATACTAGACTTCGTCCACCTGAGTGAGATCCACATTCTCCATGATGCAACTCCATTAGAACTTGCCTTGCTTCTTCTGGAGTAATGCACCTTAAGTAAGGACTAGAGAACGACCTGCGGTACAACTTATCTTCATATAGGCAGAAGCGTGCTGCCTGTTGTTTTATTTTCCTGCATTCCCTACGATTAGATGGTAGTAGGTCGTCTCTTAGGTAGTTGATGATAGGTGTCATCCAATTCGGAGCGACATCCGCTGATGCAACTTCTAGATTTGGTAAATCCTTGTCTGTGGCCGGCCACTGCAAGATTAATAGTGGAATGCTAGTCGAAACTTCAGTTTTAAGGGCTGATCCAAGATTGGCAAGAGCATCCGCATGACAATTTTCCTCTCTTGGAATCTGTGCGAGTTTGCAATCGTCGAATTTTTCCACAATCGTCTTTGCTACGTTCATATACCGCGTCATCTTCGAATCTCGTGCTTGGTAATCTCCTTGCATCTGGTTAACTATGAGTTGTGAGTCGCTGTACACTTCTAGATTTCTAGCTCCAAGATCATGAGCCAGCGTCAGTCCTGCTATCAATGCCTCATACTCCGCTTCATTGTTAGTGGCTCGAAAGTTGCACCTAACTGCTCTTGATGCAAGTTCCCCTGTCGGAGAAGTTATAACCATCCCAAGGCATGTACCTCGTATGTTGCTGGACCCATCGACATACAGCTTCCAAATTCCCTTGTGAGATCCTTCTTGTAAGGTTTTCACCTCTTCCTCCACTTCAGGAATCAAATTGGGGGTGAATTCCGCCACAAAATCCGCAAGCACCTGTGATTTGATGGCGATAGTCGGTCGGTATATGACGTCGTATTCGCCAAGTTCAACTGCCCACTTTGCTAATCTTCCTGATACTTCTGGTTTATGTAAAACCGCCTTTATGGGAGCTGAGCTGACAAGCACAATAGGATGAGCTTGGAAGTAGGGACGTAGCTTCCTCGCTGCTGTTATCAACGCTAAGGCCAATTTCTCCAATTGACTGTACCTCGTTTCTGCGTCTAGGAGCGACTTGCTGACGTAGTAAACAGGGTACTGTTTATTTTCCTCTTCTCGAACCAGAACAGCACTGACGGCGTGGTCCGACACTGCCAGGTACAATAACAGCACTTCTCCATCTTTTGGTTTAGATAAAAGAGGGGGTGATGTTAGGTAGTTCTTCAGTTCCTTCAATGCTTTCTCGCACTTATCATCCCACATGAAGTCCTTCGGTTTTCTCAGAGCAGCAAAGAAGGTATGAGATCTGTCGGACAGTCTTGAGATGAATCTGCTCAAAGCAGCCATTCTTCCGGTTAGTTTCTGTACCTCTTTCACATTTTTCGGCGAAGGGATAACTTGTATCGCTCTTATCTGGTCTGGGTTCGCTTCGATCCCTCGGTGAGTGACAATATAACCAAGGAACTTCCCAGAGCTTACACCGAATGAACACTTCGTAGGATTTAGCTTCATGTTGTACTTTCGCAAGGTAGCAAAGGCTTGTTGCAAGTGCATGATATGATCCTCTGCCACCAACGACTTCACAAGCATGTCGTCAATGTACACCTCCATAGTATAACCAATTTGATCAGCGAACATCATATTGACGAGCCTCTGGTAGGTCGATCCAGCGTTCTTCAATCCAAATGGCATTACTTTATAACAGTATATGCCTCGTGAGGTCATGAAAGACGTCTTCTCCTGGTCGCTAGGGTGCATCAAGATCTGATTGTACCCACTGAAGGCATCCATGAAACTCATCAGCTCGTGACCTGCGGTAGCATCCACTAGTTTGTCGATGTGTGGTAACGGAAAAGGGTCTTTCGGACATGCCTTATTGAGATCAGTAAAATCGATGCACACTCTCCATTTTCCATTCTTTTTTCGAACGACCACAACGTTAGCTAACCATTCAGGATAGCGTACTTCGCGAATGAATCCCGCCTCAAGTAGGTTCTCCACTTCTTTGTTGATGATCAAATCACGTTCGGGAGCAAACTTCCTTCGTTTTTGTCTTACTGGCTGATGTTCAGGATCGACTTGTAGTTTGTGCATAATGATCTCAGGATCGATCCCCGGCATGTCGGCATGTGACCAAGCAAAGCAGTCAGCATTGGATCTTAGAAAATCAATGAGTCTTCGTCGTACGTCGGTCGGTAGCTTGGATCCGATATTGACCTTCTTATCCGGATCGTCTTTAGTTAATGGTACCTCGTCAAGTTGTTCTACCTCTGGTTCCTCGGTATGGGGGATCGACGGCTTGCTCTCTAGCTGATATAGTTGATGGCTTTTCCCTTTTAAGGACGTCTGATAGCACGAGCGTGAGTGTTCTTGTTCACCCTTGATCTCTCTTATTCCCCAAGGAGTAGGAAATTTTATGGTTTGGTGGAGCGTCGATGGTATAGCTCTCATGTCATGAATCCATGGACGTCCCATAATTGCGTTGTATGCGGAGGCGCAATCCAATATCATAAACTTCGTCTGTCGGTTGACTCCTCCTGCATACACAGGCAGCATCACTTCTCCAACAGTTTGCTTCACTTCACCGCTAAATCCCACCAATGGTGTAGATTTTCGAGTCAGTGCCTCCTCATCTAGCCCTAATTCCTTGTAAGCATCCATGAATAGATATTGGTCGAGCTCCCATTATCAACGAGTGTTCGCTTCACCAAGCTATTAGCAACAGTCAAAGATATGACTAGTGCATCATGATGTGGGGCTATCACATTCATGTCTTCGTCGAAATCAAAGCTGATGGAGCACCTAGACAGTTGTTCGTCCATGGCTTTAACATCTCCATGTCCATGGTTACTTCTAGCTGTTCTAGTGCTCCTCCTAGCGGCCGAATGGGTTATTCCACTGATCTCCGAACCTCCTGAAATGACGTGGATAACCCGGTCGTGTCTCGGTGACGAAGTGGGGGCTGGTTTTTTCGTTGCTCTTTCGTCGTTCCTGTCGTCCAGTCGATTCTTCGCTCTGTCAGAGAGAAATTCTCTCAAGTGACCTTTTTTTAGTAGCTCGTTCACTTCCATTCTCAGTGATATACAATCTTCGTTCGATGTCCATGATCATTATGGAACTCGCACCACTTTGAGTCGCGCTTCTCGTCTGGTGCTTTCATCTTTGGGCCATCTCACCACTCCGCCTAACTGCTTCAACGCACCAACCAGCTCACCATGAGAGATCGAGAGATTGCTGATGTCTGGCCATGTGATGTTGGTCGTCGGTCGTCTTCTATTTGGCTGATGGACGATGACTACTCTTATAGTCGCTTCGCTTGCTAGTGCTTTCATTGCGAGGTCTCTGGTAGGGTTTGTCGTCTCGAGAAGGGACGCTCGTTCCTAATGACGCGTGAATCAGATCGTGGGGAAACCAGGTGTCGATACGCAGGATCCTCCTCCCACCTTATTTGAGCCCATGCTCTAGACAGCACGTCTTCCATCGTTCTGCACTGGTACTTCGTCAGCTCCTTGTACAGGTCACTGTCTGGGAGCAACCTCTTTTAAATGCAGAGATAGCAGTGGAGGTGACACATGCCGGAATTGATACTTTCTCTTTGTTGAAGCGACCTACGTAATTACGCAACGGTTCTCCTCTCTTCTGTATCACCTCATAGAGATCGTCGGCTGTCCTTTCTATGTTCCTGCTGCTCGCGAATTGCTCAACAAAGCGGTCCGTCAATGACGCGAACGAGTCGATTGACGCGTTCGGTAGGTTCGTAAACCACTGAAGGGCTGGTCCCGTGAGGCTAGATCCAAATCCTTTACACATACTAGCTTCGCGATATTCTTTTGCTATTGCCGTTGTAAACATGCGTTGCTTGTACTGGCTATATGGTTATCAGGGTCGGTCGTCCCGTCGTACATCTTCATTGAAGGGACGATGAACTTCTTTGGCATCTCAACCAACGCGATGGCATCCGTGAAGGGAGTGTCTGCATAGCAATTAGGAGCACTTTTGGTGATTGGAGGAGCTACTCCTGGAAGTCGCGCGAGCAAGAGCTCCATAGCCTCCAATCGCTTTGAGAACATAGTATGTGAGTCTTCAGATTGATGTTCCATCGTTGGTGCAAGGGGTGGAACCAATGTTTGGTTACCTTGCGCAGCGTCGGTAGCTCCTGCTCCTAGGTTGCTCCTGTTGCACCCGTAAGTGGTGGAGTGTCGAACGATTGCATAGGAGGAACCGGTGCTCGATATCTATTGCGAGCCTGAACCAATGACGCGTTTTCTGCTCGTAGGGTTGCGTTCTCCGCCTGGATTTGCGCAAGTCGTTCTTCGTTCTGCTTCATCTGAGCTGTGAGAGCCTCCAGCTGAGCAACGGTGACGGTCGGTGTTTCGGTCGGTGTGGTATCATCTCCCGCCGCCATGTCTCACGCAGTTAAAATTGCCCCTCCTTCTAGCGCCAAACTGTTTGGGCAAAATTTAACCGGTTCGCAAGTACAATAAACGGAATGACGCAGGAGAAGATATCTTATTAATCAATTGAATATCGAGCTACAACAAGTCAATATCAAAGATTAAACTAAGAGAATCTCGTCTGTCGCTCGTCGTAGATCGTAGTTCGTCGTATCTAGGTTGTTCGTCGCTTGCTCGTCGAGAGGCGAAGAACAAGTAGCTATTAGGGTTTTTGTGTGTTTTTCTGTGTATATGTCTCTCGGTTCTAGGACCTCCTATTTATAGGTGTTTGTCGGTCCTAGTCCTTATCGAGTTGGGCTTTGACGTCGATCATAACTTTCTATTTCCCACGTCGGTCGTGATTCCTAATTTCCTTAGAAGTGCGCGTCGGTCCTTTATGCAACTCCAATAGATTTAGGAAATTGTATAAACCATTGGTTACTGCTAAACCATTAGTTAACATCGTTGGTCGCTGCCTTTGTCATGCCGGTGTCAATGCCATTTAGACAATAAGAGATAGGATCCACCGGTTGTCGTGGCCGTCGGTCGACGACATTTCCAGCTTATAGCAGATTAAGAGGAGGGAGAGGTTAGTGAATTTATTTCACCCAACACACGTTATTTGAGATTCAGCCATACTTAGATGCTGTTATTCAGTAGAAATTGTTTTTTTTATGGTTGATGATGAATTGTTATAAGTGATCTATTAATTTGACCACTTGCTACAATTGAAGCCATGAAGCTGACTACCACATAATTTTTCTTAGTTTTGTAAATCGTTTGGCATCTGTTCTTGAGTTCTTGAGTATATATGTTTCAAGTTTTATTCTTTGGTATTCTTGTTATGATCTGACCTTAGTTATGTGAATTAAGCCATACTTGGATAAAATCTTAGATGTTTATTCGTGTTGCAAGCATCGTCATATAAAGTACTTGTTTCTTGGTTATGTGAAATTCAGCCATACTTGGATAAAATCTTAGATGTTAGTTCGTGTTGCAAGCATCATCATATAAACTTGGTCTTTAACCTTTTTGCGTCTTACGACTCTGTTTCATATGTTTCTGCTCATGTCATTTATAGATTTGATTGCTTAGTTTAACGCTTCTTCAGTGGCTATAGTAGTAGTTTTTGTTTGTCAAAATGCCATGGAGATCTGAGTTGGTGAGAGTTTTTAGGTGCCACGTTATTTGAGATTCAGCCATACTTCGATACTGTTATTCATGTTACGTCTATACTTCCTTTGCTCGTTTTATGAGTCTTATATCTCTGTTTCTTATGTTTGCGCTCATATCATTTAGAGTTGATTGTTAAGTTTAACGGTTTTTCACTTGCGATAAGATAAGTTATTTTTTAGTTTGTTTGTCCAAGTTTCATGAAGGTTTGAGTTGGTGAATGGTGATAATAAAAATTATTAGAAATAGGGCTCACAAAATAAAAGTAAAACATAAAAAGAGGGAGAGGAAATTGAACCCGCGTGGCCTTAAACTCTTAAAAACCAAAACTAGTCATAAAACTCTTAATACCAAAACTAGTCATGACATGGTACGAATTTGTCTACTTGACTCTAATTCTCTTGTTGATACTCTCCACGTTAAGGAACTTGGAACCAGAGCACACCTTCCTCTTCAGTTTCTTTCCTTCTCCTTCTTCAATCAACAATCTTTTCCCAAGCTGCGTTTCCTTTCTCTTTAACAAGCTCCGAACGTTTGGTGAGACCTCATGAATCAGTCTCATGATTATCGTGCTTAGAGAGGAGACGCGTTTATCATGCCCAGCCATCGTCATGACCTCGTCCACCTTCTCATCCACTTCCATCGCAGATGAAAAGTCTCCAACCACTCCGTCGAAACAGCCTTCCTCCTTCGTCTCCTTCACCATCTCCGAGCTTAGACGGACAGTTTCGAAAACCTGTGCGGTGGTTCCGTCGCTTTGATTTATTTCATCACATTCAAGTTCAGATTCTGTTCCACTGCCGCAAACTATCTCTCGCACAAGCTTTGATTCGGAGTGATCCATTAACCTAAACCTAGATAAGTATTCGGGTTTGAAGTAGGGATCATCGGATACATGAGAGTTGATAGATTTTTCTGTGCATTGCATCATCGCCAGAGACTTGCGATCTAACTTGAAGAGAATCTCCTCTAGGAGATGAAAAGGTAAGCTATCCATTATCGAACTAGTTAGGGCTTTCTTTGATGTGATTGTTTCTCTGTAATTTTTTCTGATTCTGATAATGTTTTGAAGTGTGCCTATGTGTTTTATTATATAGTAGACGTGATAAGTAAATAAGTAATTACTCATTCTAATTAGGAAACTTTGGTTTCGCAATACAAACAAAAAGGAAATTTCAATAAGTTTTCTGTTCCTTTTTAGGAAAGTCGTATGTTTTTGATAGCTCCCTTCAAATTCTAGCCAGATTTGTCAATCACAATTACTTTTTTCTGACAAACCGCAAAAACAATCAAATCATAAACGAGAAGATGATATATTGGTGAAAAGCAACAAATGTTAGTCGGATGGCTTTAGTTAAAGAAGATGTTACTGAAGAAGGTGTAGCAATATCCAAAAGGATGTCGACAAATATATTCTATAATCTACTCCCACGATTATCATTCAAACGATAATTTATAAACAAAAATTCATATAAAACTCTATTGATAAACCCTAAACTAACAACTTAACAATCAATCTAATCTTCTCCCTTAATATTTCGTTGAACACTTTACTTTTAATTATCCTTATTATAATAAGCATCTTCATTTTTACTATGTACGTAAAGATTATCCAAATTGATATTTCGTCAAACATTTTACTATTTTTAATCATAAAAATATTACTATATATCGACATCATAATAATTAGTAGATAAGAATATATGATATTTCATAATCAAATTAATTTATTAAAACTGGCATCAAACAAATCTTACAATTTTTTTACAACAGGCTGTATAATCAAATCAAATATCATGAAAGTCATTTTTAAAAGAAAAGATGGACAAAAATAGCATAGACTCTTGCCTTTGAAATGTCCAAATCAATTTTCCAACTAGATTCTGTCACCCTAGGACACAAGCTACTCAGAAGCAACCTTTTTTTATTGGAACAGAAGCTATAAACCCTCTCTGAATCTGATATTATCCCAGCACCTTCCGAAGCGCATCCACCAGCTCTTCTCTTCTTGAAATCTCCACCTGCAACACACACATTATTCACGTAAGCCATACAGAAACAGAATACTAAAGAACCAAAATCTCAGTTTTCTCTACAGTGTCATTTCATACCTTGTTTAGAAGATTAGCAAGTCCTTGTGGCAGAGCCCGCAGATCAGACGAATCCCCAATCTCTGCGAGTTGATTCAGCAATTTCTGCGCTCTTAACTCGCTCAGCTCCGACTCGTAGTTACTAACATCATCCTTCCATGTCAAGAAGACTTGGTCGTCTGTCCATGCATCTTCTTTCCCTTTTGCAATATCGGATTTGCAGAACCAATCCTGAATCAAAGCCACTGCAGACTTGTATGATAAGTCGTCACCAGAAGCTTTTCTTACGGTTTTCACCAGAGAGCTCTCAGCGAGTCTTCGGTTAAGCTTCTTGTAGAAGAAGGACCGCGAGCCGCTCCATTCCACAACACTTTTGATCACTCCCTTTGCAGCCATTCTCATTGAAGTGTCATGAAGTTCCGCAAATTTGGTGGCGATCTGGGTATAAACTGGTAAAAGCTGCTTCTTCCTGGCTTTGATCTGTTGCTGGAGAAGCTCCATGTTTGCATAAGCTTTGCTTTGCTTGGCATCTTGCAGTTTTGCTTTGAGGCTTATTAGCTTCAGGTCTAACCTTCCCATGCACTCTAACATCTCTCTCTTTCTAAATTTTATCTCTATCATCCCTTGTGGCTCAAGCACGTTACCGTGAGCAGTTTCATCAGCATACATCTCAACATGATCCGAGTTTATCTGGCTATCAACAACAACCCACGCTCCACCACGCAACTCTCCCATCTTGGGGATGTACACAAACACTGGTTGCCCATATCTTCTCAGATTTTCTACTATAGCTGAACCAGCTTGAAGTATTCCTTCGAAGAGATCTCTCTGCCCACCTGAAAACCCTCTCCAGTTCGCAAGGATAAACAATGGAAGCCCTTCCTTGTTGAAATCCATGAGCGCTTGAGCTGTCTTGGCCGCAGAGTCAGGAAACCAGACTTGTCCTGCTTGTGGAACCACTCTTTCATGAGAGTCGAGCTGTCCTGGATCAGCTGGAATCATTTGCATTACAGTCTGTGTCTCAACTGCGACAACTCCAACAGGTATTCCACCGAGCTTAGCTCTACCAGTCACTACCGTCCTTGCCCAACCTTCAAGAGTCTCAATAAAGCTACTTTTATCAAAGATACCACCAAGCCATTTACCGGTATTGTCGTTCACCCCAGCTATAGCAGCTCGTGGGTCGCAAGAGTTCTCTGGGACATACTCTACAGTTCTCTCTGGAGGATCTAGAGGGGCAAGGACAGGAAGAGGACCACCCACGTAAGCAGGAATGTAGCTCAGCCAGTTGAGAATCGCTGATACGCCCTCGAGATCATCTGAGACTGTGAGATGAACAACACCATTTGTGCCCATGATTTTCGGGCCACCAAGTTGCATGTGAGAGCTATAGACCTCACGCCCAAGTAACTTGTTGAGCGTAGAAAAGCCAGTCAAGATGATCGGCTGGTCTAGTCTCTGTATGCACCGCATACCCAAGCGGGCAAGGTAAGCACCAATTCCTACCGTTCTTCCGCTAACAAAGGTCAATGTAAAAGTTTCATTGTACGCCTTTGAGTATGCACCCGCTATTGCCCCACTCCCTGTTAAGTTCTCTACGCCAAGACCATCTTCTTTACCAACGATCGTATCAATCACCCACCTTGTTTCCCCACTAGGGAGCTTTATTTCGTGCGAAATGACAGATGATCCAATCCTTGCATGGTCTTCAGGGCTTAGGTACATATACTGAAAACCTTTCTCGGGGGAAACTTCATCTGACCATCCAACTTTAAAGCAGGCTTTGACTTCTTCAGCTACACCGAGCCGAGCACCAGAATTTGCTGCCAAGTAAATCAATGGAAGCTTCTTGGCACAAGCGAGTTCAGTCACAGCATGGAAAAACGCATCCTCTCTTGGACCAAAAGAACCAGCTTTGAAGGTGACATCATTGGAAACTATTAGAAGTTTTCGTCCCATAGGAAACTCAGGAGTTGCCATCTCTAGGCACCAAGCCACCATTCCAAACTCGTTGAAACCGGGGGGTCTTTCAACAGTAACAAGAGATGTACAAGAACTTTCTGGATTGGAGAATACAAGCTCTTTAACACTGATAAGAGTATTCTTACATGGTTTCTTAACTCCCGGGTGTTGGGATTCCCACAAATGCTCCAAGGCTGTCTCAAATGCCTGAAATAGCATAAAACGGGTTGGAAGTAGCCAAAAGAGTAAACCTATGTGTGTGAATCTTCTGAATTCTGTAACTAACCAAAGGGAAGTCATAGCAATAAGTAGTGTTACTCCTCCTTGCGGCTAGCCGTTGCCTGTCAAGATATCCCAGTGGCTTATATTGATCATTGATTGAAGTTCCATGCAAAGGTCCTTTCTTGGTTATCGAGTGATAAATTAAACTGTTTCTCCCAGTAGCTTCAACTTCTCGGTATATCTGAAACATCAAATCCCAGCAGGTTAAGTCATCGCAGTGATAACTTCAACTCTTACTTTCTGTATTACTTGTACGACCAATATTTGTAATCTGAACTTACATGGACAGTGCATGTACGGCCTGTCACGTTTGCAACCACAACCCTCCAAGCACTTTCCAGTCCAGAAGACACCAACCGCAGCCGCACTTCCCACTCGCACACACCCAATCTATGCATTCTCACTCCGACAGATTTGTGTATCTCTCGTGCTGCATTGTCTAAGATCATCTCCACAGTAGTTTCTTGATCCTCCGCATTCACTTCAGCTCTCCTGTGAGAAACACGTTGAAAATTATTACCATAAGGTCTGACATTTTATATACAATAACTTGCCATGGACACAACCATATTAACCTGGGGTAAGCCACAAGATCATCTATCTGCTGCTCACGCAGTATGGAAAGGAACATATGTGCGTGGTCTGGTTTCATGGCAGCATTATGGGCATTCAGTTCCAGTTCCTCCATGGCATCCATCAAAGAACTAATAATACATTTCGATGTAAATGGCATGGAGGACAGTGTTTGGCTTAATTGCTTATCCTGCATTTGCTGCAACATAAAGCCATCGTTCATTGTAGCCTGTCGAACAAGAGATCTCAAGAACATCCTCTTGATTGGCACTGGCTTGTCTGTAACGGTATACAGATGCCATTGACGATTTCGTGAAGGTGTATACTGTATATTTGAGTATCCTTTCAGCTTATCCTGCATAAGACAACAGTAAACAATAGTTAAAAAAGATGCAAGATGACGCAGCAACGGCTCATATGATCATACCAACTCAAGGTATGTGGACAGAGGAGGCTCAAGATGACGCATCAACGGCTCTTCTGCATAATACTGTTTCTCCATCGACCAATAGAAAGAATGTCTCATGGGCGTTTGTCCTTCATCTTGCTGGATTATACAACTTATCACACCTACACCAGCAGAACGGAGGCTCGAACTCACTTCTTCCTCTGTAAGAATTTTTGCCAGCTTGTTTACTCTTTCCTGAGCTTGGTCTTCATTTTCACTGAGGCAAACAAACGAGCAAAACAAATTAGGTAGACAATATAGCACCTACACAGCTAGTTTAAAATGGTCAGGCTGTGTCGGGTACCAGTCCTGAAGCAGACTCGTATGATTGTTGTTGCCCACAATAGCAATGTGCATAATATTGCCAGATATAGGATCTTCTGCAGATTCATAGTGGTTGTGCTCTATTTCTGCCAGTGCTGTATTTATTATACTCGGTAGAAACTGCAGCGATTTGATTATAACCATAGTCCCCCGTTTTTTCTTCCTACGCTTTTCAACAAATACATTTTCAGATGTCTCTTGATCGTCTGAGCCATAGTTTTTTCTTTCCATATGCTCCTCTAGGAACTCCCAGGAAGCAATAAGACCAGAACGATGCCACTGCATCCTCACGCTTTCTTTAACGATGTAGGGCTGATGACAAGAGTCGAGTTGAAATGAAGTCAAGATTGTCTGTTTAATAACTAATTCTGAAATAGGAAGGGTGCAAAAGAATGAAATCTAACCTGGTATAGTCTTCGAATATAAGTTTCAACAACCCGTCTTTGAAGTGTGTGATCGCTGTGCTCAAATAGTCCCACGAGAGCATCTTCAACAGCTAGAGATGCACTCACAAGATCTTCCATCCTTTCATTAATGGCACTCTTCCTCTTGGGGGTATCCATATATTCCTCATCCTCTGTAAGCATTTCTAACTCTGACAGGCTTCTAACAATGTTTGAACGCAGTTCACTTAGTTTGGTCTGTTCAAGCAATTGACTCGCCTTGAGTGCCAACTACACACACAAAGTGATCATTAGTTGATAAAAATAAATATTATTTAAACATAAAAGAGCCAAACGCACCTCAGAGTAATTAGTATGGTTAAGTGTCGAGAATCGGATCAGTTTATCTCTGTATGCAGCAGGATTAGGGTAAACAAAATGCTCCATGAGCCGGAGAATGAGTTTGTTTTTGTTATCTATGCCCTGCAATTCAGTAAGAGGTATACAGGAGCATACCAATTCAGTGACATAGTAATGAAAACAAGATAAACAAGGTCTTGTAAGGATGATCACAGACCTGATGTGAGAGCACTATATCCACAATCTTCAGCAGATCTTTCTTGTAATTCTGACGCATGTGTTCAATAACATCAGCCTATTCAAGTAAAATAAAATGCATATTAGGACTCCTGTAACATGGCTAGTAACCACAAAGCCGTTTCTTAGCTATTGAACCATATTTCACCTGCATGTGATTGTTGAATAATTCTTCTACTGATAGATATTCTTCAAAGAGGGAATGAACAATAGCACGGGTATGACTTTCTCTACCACCTTCGTAAGACTTCGCAAGGCTCATCAGTGGTTCTATTAGCCTTTCGATGGCGCCTCTCTCTTTCTCATCATAAGATGATAAATAAGCCTGTTGCAAGAAGTGAACCGGAAAAGAAGGCATTTCAGAAAGTAAAAAACAGGATGTAGCGGCTCAAATGAAAGAAATAATAGGCAATCACCTCAAGAATGCCTTTTAAAAGTTTGGCAGGGAAATCTGCGGTCAGCGAGTTTCTGGAGATACTCTCAAATTCCCTATACTTTGATTCTAGCTGATAGAGAATTTTATAGAAGTAAGGTATTAGACGTCTAAAAACAATAAAACAATTAACACAGGAAAGGAATACAGATAAAAACTAACAAAAAACAAATAAGTGTTTACCTTGTTCCTGAGGTCTTTAGGTAGTCGTGTTGCCAGAACTGCAAAGCACTCTTGCCACTGAAGGAATGGGAGTTCAGGACTATCAAGGCAATTAAGCAAGTCTTGAACAACCTGTAAGATATGAACAATCTCAGAGTCAAATAATCTTATAGAAAATATGGATCAAATAGGAAAAACAATCTGTGTTTACCTCGTCTACGTTGTGCTCATAGCCAGCAAGAATCATGCGAGAAGCATTTAAAGTTGCAGCACATCTCTGGTGAACTTTACCAGAAATTGCTGTTGGAAGCCCTAATCTTGGGAAACTTCCATGGAAGGGTTCGGCCTTTCTTACAGCAGAAGGATCATCAAGGTCAAGCTTGGCTATAAGTTCACCAGCCTAAAATATAATGGATGGAAATAATTTCAACAAAATTGTATGAAACCAACTTTGTTTTAGGAATGGGGCTGGTTTTTTACCTGTATGGCTTGTCCTTCAGACATTTTGAAATGTATAACTCCTGACGCAGGTGAAACAAGTGGCATGCACATCTTCATGACCTCAACTTCCGCATATGGCGAGTATCAGCATCAATACTGCTATTATCGAAACCAGATACCTCAGCAGCTTGCACGGTGTCTCAGCCATCAACTTCGAAGGATCATGATCATTCTGAATAAGCCAAAAATGACAGATAACTTAATGCTAAAATGACTTCAGAAAAATTCAGTAAAGAAAAAATAATTCAATTGAAACCTGTAGTAAACAAGTTTTTCCGTCAATGAGAAGTCGGGTTCCAGCCGCTTCGTCCTCTGCATATATCACATGGCTTTTACCATCCAACTGCAATGACAGTGAAAATCAACCAAAGAGGTGAGATTCTCATAGGCAATTATTATGCATGGCAAATGTAAGTTTCTGTTTTATAGAATGAAAGAAAGGCAGAAAACTTACCTGCATCAACAGACCTCCATCACGTAGAGTGTGTATGTCTGCAACAACTTCTGAGTTATTCATTCTTAGCCTGTAGCTTCCTGATCCACTCCGGACCACATCAATCTAAGAACATTTATGTTCAGGTTAGAGAGCCACGGTAACTATATCTTCAGTGCAGAAGTAATATGGTAGAAGCAAAGAAGAAATCCGGAGAAGTAAAATCTTGACACTAGACGATTACCGTATATTTACTTCCTTCTATGTTGAGAGAGACTCGAGAATGCACAAGAGATATATGCTGCAATATAAGAGAGAGAGAAATAAGCGATAAGATCATTACGACGAAGAGAATGGAGTGTTGATATTGAAGTACCTTTGGGGGAATCTGGCCCTTCTCAAGATAACCAACGTAATCCGAGACCACGGCAGCACTGGTCGCTGATGCTTTCTGGAAAAATAGAACATTTCGTCACCAGATAGAAACTTTTCAAGAGATATAGATATCCGAGAAAAAGGTTCTTACATAGAGAGCCCCGCTAACAACAGAGAGATACCATGGAGGCCTCTCTGCTCTGACCCGCATAGCGATTCTACTATCCAACCAACCAGTGTGGATTTTGTTTTGCTGGTAATCAGGAGCCTGTTCAACAATTGAAATGATCTTGTCAGGGTACATAACATTGCAAACACAGAGTGTAACTTTTGTGTGTAGGAAGACGCAAAATTACATGTAGAAGGTCAATGGTGTAGTCAACGTTAGTCCTAATTTCTCCACGAATCTGAATTTCTTTCAGCCCAAGAACCATATTTGCTATTGCCAGGGCTCTGGATTCCCCAAATGCAAAAACATGTCCTGAATAGGATAATAAAAGAAATTTGAATTCGTAAAAACTCAAGAAAATAACTGACCTAGCAGGCCACATATTTCATTAACTTACCAAACTGGGAATCTGAGAACTCGTGGATGCCTCCACCAGACTGTAAAAAAAAACAGAAACAAAAAAGTCAGTAAAAGTTAAGACATAGCCAAATGCACATAATATATCAGATGAGGATCTATCCATATGTCTACCTTGACAGAGAAGTACGCCCACACATCTGGCTTGCTCTTGAAACTCAACTCCTGTTGCAAGTTCATACGAGTGTTACACCATAGACTTTCTAAGTTTGCATTCCACAGCTATCAATATTACCTGTATTTGACCGCTGGTGGGTTTGAACCCGCCATCAGGATCCTCACTTGTCACACGTACAGCCACACAGTGACCTTTAGGTCTTATAGATTCAGCTTTGTCAAAATCAAAAGGAGAGGCTACGACAGATGTCTGCCTCCAAGAATCGTAACCTCCACCATGTGCTATACCATAGAACCGTCTTATCTCTACCATATCAAAATGAAAGATTAAGTACATTACACAAGTGTATAAACAAGAAATAAATAAACCACTGCCTTTGCAAAAATAAGGATCCAGTGCAATACCAGGGATTTGCCAGAGAGGAATTCCCATCCCCACAGCAACTTGGGCAGCGGGAATATTTATCCCGGTAATACATTCAGTCACAGGGTGCTCAACCTGACCTCAAACATCAAGTCAACAAACAAGTCTTCGGCTTTCAAAACATAATATAACCTTTCAATAGAATGAAGCCAAACCTGTAACCGAGGGTTAAGCTCCAAGAAGTAATACTCCCCAGTTTCCATGCTGTAGAGATACTCGACGGTAGCAGCTCCAACATAGTTAACACTCTTAGCCAACCTTCTAGCTGCCTGCTCAAGTTTCTTCACCGTTTCTCGCGGAGCCACCGTGATTGGACCTTCCTCTATGATCTGTGATATAAACCATAAAGTCAAAAAAACTCATGCAATAGGGAGAATAACTCGGTTGGAGGATAACATTATGTGTTAGGATCGCTAGCAATAGCAATGGGATTTTTGGAGATTCCAGTTGGAAAATTGTGACAATTGATCGATTGGATGGAAAATGAGTTTGAACAGAATCATTTCTCGGATTTCCAGAAACTAAATCCTGCACAAAGCTTCATTGAAGACGAAGCTGAATCGTTTTTTTTCATCATTAACATGAAACCAGAAATCCTCCAATAAGAACACAAAGCCTAATTATCTCTAAGTAGTATCAATTTCTCTTATTGAAGATGAACTAAATCAAAGAAATGAGTTCGAAACTGTTCCCAAAAACGTGAGATTCTGATCAAAACGAATTCCGCTTCGAAAATCTACTCGATACCTGAGCTGGATTGTGAGTGAGAATTTCGATTTACGTTCTTACGGAGGCAATTCCCGTCGATTACGAGTTTTATTTCTGGTGAAACAATTCTTCCCAGTGCGTCCGAAACCCAAACATTCCATAGCTAAATCTAGAAACTCTGACACATAACTATCTCTTGACTCTTGCTCTTCTCCTTCAATATACTCCTCACTTCTCTCTCTCTCTCTCTCAGAAAAAAAGTTCAACACAGAGGGAATTAGAGAAAAAACGGAAAAATCAGATTTTGGGGAAAAGAGAGTGAGAGAGAGGAAGGCAAAGTGAGAGAGATGCTTAAATTTGAACTTTTTATTTTCTTAAAGGATGAGCGTAAATTATCGTCTACGGGAAGGTGCATCACAGACGTGGACAGGTGTCATTGTGTCAATGACGGGCGATGTTTGATAAATTACTTTATTTTTAGAATAAAGAGTTTCAGAACTGGAGTTTTCTATGGAACAGTTCACTAGTAATGCAGATTCTGTTAGACAAAGGTCTGCGAAAATTGGTGGTCTAAGTTCAAATATGGTCAAGTGAATCGTAAAGCATTGCGACTATTGGAACTTTGGCTTCGAATATCTACTTTTGATTGCCAATGAAACACTTAAGACACTTCAAGCTGAGTATTATCTTTGAGACCTGAGATGGTCACTGTGATAACTGTGAAGAAGAGTAAATTCTCTAAGTCTTGGATGTTCAAGTTTAGAAACAGGCCAGGGACAAGTGAGAAAACTCAATGAACCAGATTGAGAAAGTGAAAAAAAATCATGAGGCAATAAAGGATTTGGTTGAAGTTTGAGACTTTAAAGGTTTGTGACTGAAAAGCAAGGGGAGATGGTTTGTTACAACAAAAAGGATTCAACATTCAGAAAATTGCCACTAAGCTATCTATGATGGATATTTTTGCTGATGGATGCAATCAGAAGGAGATTCAAGAAATGGTTTCAAAACAAGAAGGATGCATATTAAGATGCTGAGATTTATTCATGTCAGCTTGAGGACAAGCTAAATCTCATGGGATTAGAAAAAAGGTCTTTCAACCATTTTTCAGTAATATGGGAAGCCATTGGCTTAGTGAGAGGCTATAGAAACTCTATAGCCAAAAACCTTTCTTTTTCTTGACTGTTGAGTAATAAAGAGAGATATGATCTGTAATGAAACAATAAACAAACCTTTTGATGTCTTCTCTGGACGCTACAGTCACGGCTATGCAAAGCTGCAACGTTTCCATATTGATCACAGAGAAGCTGGACCTCTAAATGCCGACTCTATTACAAGTACAAAGAAGAAAAGTTAGTTAATCTCTCAAGCAAAGTACTCAAAAGAGATAGTAGCTACAGTAGCCATACCTGTGAAGCAACCTTCATTATGAAGATCGGCGAGCCAGGTACCTCACCTTGAACTTGCTTGAACAGAGCCTTGACCTCATCATCATTATGAACCTAATTCACCAAATGAAACCACAATAAGTACACTTAGCACTTAGTGACAGTCACAATGACATACATTTACATGTACACAAATCTAACCTTCCTAATGCCTTTTCCACCACCGCCCCAAGATGCTTTGATCATCGCCGGATAACCAACAACTTGACAACTAGCAACAGCTTCTTCAGTTGTGTAAACACAAGCTTGCCTATAGATCTCTTCAGGGATGGTCACCAGGTTGCTACCAGGAGGAACTTTAACCTGAAGAAAGAAAAACATCATTATTGAAACTGTTCAACGATTATCTTGCAAAATTTGTTAAGATTTACTTACATGGGAACCACTCCATGGCAGAGTAGGTACATCAGCAGCTTGTGCAATCAACGACGAACCAATCTTATCACCTAATGCCACCATTGAAGCTGCTTCAGGACCAAGAAATACGATTCCTTTTGCATTTAAAGCATCAGGTAACTCAGGGTTCTCAGATGCATGACCCCAACCAGGCCAAACTGCATCCACACTCGTTGCCTCTGCCATCTACACATCAAAAATGAATCAAGAAAACTCCAAAAAGACCACAAATATTTATTAGTAAACGAATTAAGAATGCATTTTACCTCTACAATAAGCTGAACATTGGCATAATTGTGATTGTTTGTTCCTCCAGGAACTTCAACAAACTGATCAGCCATTCTGATATGCTCCGCATTGATCCGCATGTCTTCAGGGGTTGCCATAGCCACTAACATTATGGCTCTCTCATTGCCAAATGTTTTGTAAGACCATGTTCTAACACTTGTGATAAACTTCACAGCACCCATTCCATTGGTAGCCACCAAAATCCTATGGATTGGCCTTTTCCCTCCAAGAGCCTTACAGTAATCATCCACTTCAGACACGCTTTGATGCTCTGTAATGGAGTCAGAGATTGTAACTGTCCTTTGAGACTCAGATATATCTGTAAAACCAACACATACTGAATCAGTCTACAAGGAAAATGCATCAAGAATTGTAGTTTTAGCCATAAACAAGCTCTTGAAAAGAAATTTAACAACAAAAACATAAGCAAACAAAGATGGATCATAGTTCCAAGGTTTTGTATTCATATGAAATGTAAATGAAAATGGCAAAAAACACAATCATAAGAAAAAAGTTGATCACCAACCATTTTTATCCCAGAGCAAGGTCGGATCAGGACTGGTAGAGTCGTTTTTCCCCAAGAAGGCAAGAGGAAGAAACTGTTTGTTGCGAGACAAAACATTTCTCCTGCTTTTGTTTTTGTAGAGCGAAGCTCCGTTGAATGTGCTTCTTCCCAGCTTCAGTGTTGTTGCTGGAAAATCTCTGTCCACGCGAGCAGCAACTGTTGCGATCCATGGAGAGACATTCGTGAGGCTAATCGAACCAGAGCCTCCGTTTCCGGCAGAACACGAAACCAAAGCTCTCATCTCCATTGCGACAAGAAAACTTCGCAATCAAGCCAAAGCTGTCCTGAGATCAGTAGTCAAGTGTAAAACTGTCACCAGGTTTTCACTGGGCTTGATTATAAATCAATTGGGCTTTAACGTGCAGATGCGATTGGTCAACGTTTTTAATTATCGCCATAAAAATATTCTACTGTTTCACTGCTAAGAATAAGCTGGATTTTTGCAATTAATGAAATATAAATATTCTTACAGTAATAGTAAAAAATCCTAATTCAAATCCCCAGTCCCATAGTCTCTTTTCTCTTGGATTTGTTTCCTATACAGTTTCAATCCAACGCGATTGTTACACGATATACCAATTTTTTATGAGATTGTAACTAGTCACGCGTTTCAAGTGTTTACACCTATAAAATTCATTTTGATAATAACATATATATATACACATACACATACACATGTTGCATCATGATAAGAAAAAATAGAGAGAAAATGTGAAACCTCGTATCTTCAATCACTATGTATATGATAATGTAAACCTTTAACTTGAGGAGTATTAGTTTGATATGAATGATTGAATGGTTTGATGGATTTTAGTTTGATAGAGAGAAAATGCAAAACCTTAATTTGAGGAGTATTATGATATTCTCATATCTTCTATGTATATTATCCTATTCTCATGCCATGAATACCGATCATCTTTCCTCTTATATCATGTCATGAAGTTTACTTAAGCTCTTTGGGTTATATATACACTTGTGATGTCAATAAAAAGCTCAGCATTTTCTCTCTAAGCTCGGTTTAGTGAACCTTAAATCCAAATCATCCAAACCGAACCGAAAGACCAACACCCACCTATCTCGGTGGACACTCGAACTGTCTACGTGGCTGACTTATGGAACATCCCAGAGGACGCTTTTGCTGACTCAACAAAAAGTGCAAACAAAAAGTTGTATTTGTTCGCTTTAGGTCTATTTGAGACAGTTGTACATGAAAATGTCTAAATGGGATATTGTTTTTTTTAGACTTCAGATATTTTTATTACCACAAATTTTGGCCTTCACATAAAATACCTATTTAATGTTGTTTTTGATGTATTTTTTTTTGAAATGGACGGTTACTGAATTTAATCAAATATCTGTTTCTTCTTTTAGAAACCACGCTCGTGTATGTTGTTATTCGCTACTCGCTTTCTTTGCCACATGCTTTTGGTCAAAAGAGAGGCACTCAAGCATATGATCTGCCAAACCTAATCGTTCTTATAAACTCTAATACTCTATGTCAAAATATATAAATGTATCATACAGTTTACCAATACTTATTTATTTTTATAACGATAAAAAACTTTTGACATAGAGTTATCAAAAAGGAACTTTTGACAAATATCCACAAAAGGATCTAAACAAGAACAAATCCAATGTTAAATCATAATATTCCATCTATTCATTGATTGTTGGATTATTACTTGAATACTATTGCTAAAAATAATTAAATACTCTGAAGTTATATTTGAAAATGCTTAATCTGTAGTATAAAACCATCCAGTGGGAAAAGAGTATACAAATTAACAATAAATTAAAATAATATATTCGAATCAAAACCTTAATTGTGCACCTAACCAAAATATATTTTCCTATCAACTTGATTAAAGTTGAAGTATGTTCACAACGTTGTTAAACAAACCACGCGCTCGCCAGTCGGTTTTGGGCCAAACTTTCTATTATTAAAAATATCCGACAAGATATTAACCAAATATCTTCTCCACAAAGACAAAGCGATAAAGCGTAGAAGATGAGAAGAAGACCTCCTCCACGTGTCACTAGCATCTTTTAACCTGAGCCACATGATACAACAGAGTTTCTCGACTCATCTCCCTTTTTTCTTCAAAAGAACAAATTATTAATACTTGTGCTGACGTGGCTTATCTTCCTCTTGCTCTTTTAAACGAACCCTTGACTCTGATCATTTTCTAAACTACTCTCATTTCTCTCACCAATCTCAAAAGAGTTCTCTCTCTTCTCTTCTTCTTCTTCTTTTTCAGATTTAGCTGTTTTCCGGTGAAATTTAGTCCGGTATCTGGTTTATCCGGCTGTAGATACCGACGAATCTTGAATACTCCAAGTCTTCTTCTGCAACCATGGCTATGCAGGTTTTTAAGATCTTTCTTCTTTTGATTTATGAATTATGATATAGTTCACATCTTGCTTTTGTATCTGTTACTGTTGTTATTATTATTTGGACAGAGGTTATGGTATATAGACCAGATTAACCTTAAGAAATTAGGCAGATCTAAGAGGTATGTTAGGTCTTTCCAAATCCAACTTGTGTTTTGTTTATGTCCGAGAGAAATCGGAACTGAAGAATATTCGATTGACGCAGGTTAAATTGTGTTTATAAAAACCAGGCGATTTGTGGGATATTTATGGTCGGTTGTACTACTTATTGTATTGTCTATTGAGAACTAGGTAAGAGCAAGGTCTCAAATCCCCTAATTACCTTCTAGATCCGTATTTTAATTAGTTTTTAACACTCTTAATTTCACTTTACAATATTTGTGTTAAGAGACTAATTCTTTCTTTTTCTTATTATAGGAACATTGTGAGAGCTTATGTGACAGAGCTTCTGATGAGCTCATCTCATCCACGGATGCCTTTTACCTCAAGGTAACTTATTAAATCTCTTGTCTACTCATAATTGGTTTCAAATCTCATCTTCAGATCTAAAACATTTGTATTGGGTTTTGTTTTTGTAGACAAGAAAGCCTTATACCATCAGTAAACAAAGAGAGAAATGGACAGAAACAGAGCATGAGATGTTTGTAGAGGCTTTGAAACTGTATGGCAGATCTTGGAGACAAATCGAAGGTGTGTGTGTGCGTGTGCTTATCTAGATATAGAGTCTCTAATGCAAACTTAAATGGGTAAAGATGTTGACTTTTGTTGATTCTTCTATGGAACAGAACATGTTGGAACAAAGACTGCTGTTCAGATTCGAAGCCATGCTCAGAAGTTCTTCACTAAGGTTTGTTTTCTTCTTCTTTTAGCTCAAATTTTGCTAAACAAGAACGTTCTATATCAAAAATCAAGATCTAATTCATGTTTATGAATAGGTTGCTCGTGACTACGATGTCACCTCTGAGAATTCGATAGAGATTCCGCCTCCAAGGCCGAAAAGAAAGCCGATGCATCCTTACCCTAGAAAGCTAGTGATACCTGATGCTAAAGACATTGCATACGCTGAGCTAACCGGAGCCAAGTTGGTTATAGACGAAGATAACCGATCTCCAAAATCGGTTTTGTCAGATGGGTTAGGTTCAATGGGTTCAAATTCACCTAACTCGTTATCATCTCACACAGAGGAGTCATTGTTTCCAGAAGCAGAGACCAAGCAAAGCCTTACGCTGTTTGGAATGACTTTTGTAGTTGGTGACTACAACTCTAATGATTCAGAAGATGTCAAGAAGAAACTAGACTTAGAGACGCAGTCTGTTCGAGGGTTTATGCCTTACAAGAAGAGGATAAAGGTGGAAGAAAACATTGATAGTGTAGTCAAAATGTCATATCCTTTTTGGTGAAGTGTTTTGTGTTAATCTTTCTGTGAAACTCCTTAGGTCTCAACTTTAGTTTCTGTGTACAAATCTTTCCGAGAATGAAAGGAAAGTTTTTCTTGGATTACATTCATAAGATAAATCCAAAGTCGATAAAAAACAGTCGACAAAAATAAAGATGAAACAACAAAAGTGAACTTATAGTTTTCTTCTAGTAGTTGCAGCAGGAACGACAACGGGAACCACAGTAACTACAAATCTTTCTGCTCTTAGAGGAAGTAAGATAACTTTTCATTATCTCCACGGCAAGATCTGGGTAATTGATGGCAAACGACTTGAACTTATCAGAGTAAGCAATCGTGTTAAAATTGCTCCTGACAACCGCGAATGCGCAATGGTGAAGGACTATGTCTAAAGGGATTTGGGCAAGCTCAAGGATGCTAACAGCATTAGATGGATTGAGAGAGGATATAAGCTCTTTTCTGCATATGTCCCTTAGATGTGGAATCTCATATTTGTCAGCTGCAAGATAGAGTGATCGTGCATGTTTCCTGAGACTTTGACAAGGAATGGAGCCATCAGCACTGTACATGAACTCAACTAAAGCCTCAACTTCTTCGTGTTTCATCTCATAGAGAGTTACTGTCTCTAGCTTCGCCGAAGCCTTGATCTCGTCTGGTTCTAGCATCTTCTTAAACACCACTGATCTTTCTGCCTAGTAGCATTAACCATTAACAACCGTTTCATAAAAAAAGATTCGATGGTGATTAACAAGAAGAAGTTAGAGCAAACCAGAACAAGTTTGCGTGCGGGGATAGCTGCACCCTCAACACTGTCTCCTGCCTTGAGGAGTACGTCAGCTTGCCATTGTTCTTGAGATATTTTTTGAATTCCATTCACGATAACCTCTTTGTTGCCCTGTGTTGTCATGGTAAAACCTGGATGTGATTTGAGGATTTTGTTAACGATTATAAGGAAAAGTATACAATATCCATCATCGTCATTCATTCGTTACACTAACCCTAGATCGATAAATAAGAGAATAAGTTCTGAGAGGAATACAAAAGGCAAACTCCTGGAGGTATATCAAGAAGACGTGAAGAAGTATTCGTGATATGAAAACAATTGCGTAAACTCCACGTTAAGTAACCAACAAGAATTTTAGAATGAAAACATGTTAGAATTCGATTCAAAATCCAGAGAGAGTTACACTTACAGTACAAGTAAGGCTCTACAAGCTGACAAAAGTTGAAGCAACAGAACAGTAGAGAGAAACTGAGAAAAGCTGTGAGTCCCTCCCACGGCACGTATAGATCGACAATGCAAAGGGAAAGGAAGGAAGTGAGGATTTTTCGGGTTTAAGAGATGGATTGTTTCTTCTTTTTTTTTCTTTTCTTATTATTTCCATTAAAACAAAAAGTTTAAATACATACATTCCCTTTTTTTCTAGATAAAAAATTTAAAAAATTAATCAACAAAAAAATCGTTTAAATAAAAAATGGAAAGACAATTCGGAAGATCTAAAAGAATATAGGTCTGAAAAATTGAATGAGTAAGGTATGTCGTTCTGATCTCTTCTTCGATTTCAAGAACTCTTTGATGATATCTTATATTTTACGGTAGTTCAAAATTTCAAATACCTTTATTGGTATAATTTAGTTAGAAAGGTCTTTGAATTCATTCAAGGATGAATACTCTTAGTCTCTTACTTAAACTTTGCAACTTTATGTACATAGGCTTGCTTTTCCAATTTTAAGAGGAATCAATGTGTTTCTTGATGTACACACTAATCTAACATTTAGACACAGTCAATAGTTGAGGTAAATACAGCCATGGCGTCATGGTTAAGTTTTATCTAGAAAAAATCTTATACGATTCATAGTTAAACAAGTCGAGCAAAGTGCTTGATGTTCAATTTAAAGCTTAGAGAATTACTGAATTAGTCTAAATGTCACCGTATTAGCATGGTTTAAAAGGAACTTTGTAGTTATCCACAGTTGCTTTTTAATTGGTTTATATTTTTTGTTTTTTTTCTGCCTTGAAGATTCACCGTATATCTGACGTGGCAAGTACTGTATTGGTTTGCTCTGTTTGTTTGTGATCCCAAAAGTTTAATCTAACCATAGTCAAGTTAAACTTTAACTATAGTTTTTCTTTCTCTAACCCATGTTTGGACTTGTAAAAGTTTAATCCAACCATAGTCAAATTACTTTAACTATAGTTTCTCTTTATTTAGGCTGTGTTTGGATTTGTAGAACTTGCCCATCAAGTTTTCGTCTTTCTATCTTTACACGGATTGTGTTAAACAATTTTACCTGTGTGATTCATTCACATAGATAGTTTATTATTGATTTCTCTAATAAAAAGAAAAAAAAAAGTTTTCATCTTTCTATCTTTCCACTAATTGTACTAAACAATGTTAACTGTGACTAATAGATATGGATAGTTATTGGGTTCATGTGAGTGCCTCACAGTGACTGTTCGATCATGGACATGCTCAACAAAAATGCAGAAGTGCACATTTATTTATTTTATATAACATGCCAAATTCGTCTGGGTTAATTGTTTTCAAAACGAAAAAGAGCTGAGACAAAAAAAGAAAGAGAAAAAAAGATTAGGTACCTTCCCAAGAAAAACCACCTCGATAACAAATTTCACGGTCCCCAACACCTTTATTTGAAATCATGAGATTGCACAAATCCATTTTACCACGTCATCGATAGCGCCTTGCAGCTGCAGGTCTACAAAACTCATGCTCCCTGCTGGCTTTACAAAACATAATTTCCATGACGTATGTCCTATACAATGTAAATGCACAAGTGTACATTTATTTAACTTTCACAAAAAAGTATTTATTTAACATCATCATAAATATAATTAGCGATCCTGCAAACTTCAGAAAAACAAAATTTTCCAGAAAAGTTAACTGTTTATCACATTATTTCTTACCATACTTATTAAAAGTATTTAAATATTAGGTGAGTATACGCGTTTGTAACTAAAAGAATATACTATCCACATTTTTATCAACATTCTCTCACTCATACTAGTACCTAATTTTAGCTTTCGAAAATCCTTCAATATAGAGATTGTTTTCTTTTTTTACTTGGGATGAGCTCTCTTTTGTAAATAAATTTTAGAATATCGACTATATGCAGTCTAATTATATGCAGTCTTTGGTCAAATTATATTGACTATACATGTGGACTATAATTTGACCAATGATTGTAATTATGCGAGTCGTTAGTCAAATTATACAGTATTGACTCTATAAATCTATTTTAAGATATGAATTCGTATAGTGATAACAATTATCGTTTAAGATATGAATTCGTATAGTCTATTTTAGTTAATATTAATGCAAATAAAATAAATATAGTTTATGAAAAAGAAAAATGAAGAATAGATTTACCAATTTGTCCTTTTTGTTCTTACAAGCAAAAATTGTTATTCTATTTTTTTTTTTTCATATTAAACCAACCTATAATGCACATAAAGTAAGTTTATAAAATGAGTGAAGACAAAAAAAAAGTTATTACAGTAACTTTTAATATTGGTGAGTGTAAAAAAAAACATAAATAATCACTGAAAGTAGCCGTAAGATTGACATGGTCGAGTTACTCTAGTTGGAACTCAGTTATGATTGTGGTTGGATATCATATCAATAGCATCATAATTAACTTGTTGGATTTTTTCAGTATAATATCTTGTTTGGTTAGGAACATTTGATAAAAAAAATCATACCAAAAATAATGAAATGCAAATTGATTAGAGTAGTAGTTAATTTTGTCTTTTTTTTTCTTTCCCAAACGTCTTTTAAATTGTTATGTCAAAACTCAAAAGAAATACTGTAACTATATTATGGACCTTTGGTTTTTCCCTTTGATATTTGTACCGTCAGTGTTAATGATGAAAAGAAAAAAGCAGTAAATTCTGCTCTTATTATGGATATCGATTCATAAAATATCAGATATCAATTTTGGAAAGAGTGAAAACCCATTTCAGTAGTAAAAATAATTACGGGGGATGCGAATTGCAATTATGGATGAGTTAGTTTCTTCTTTTTGTAACTGCAAGAAAAAAACAAAATAAACCATGGTTAGTTTTCAACTAGGCCCGTACGAAAGGAGAAGAAAGTGGGGAGGGAAAGAAGGGCTAAATTGTCATTTACTCTTTATTGTATTTCTGTAAAATGCTTTATAATAACCGTCTCGAAATTACAGAGTTCCATAAAAACTGAGACGTCCCCCCATTACTCCCTCTCTCCCACAGTGACCCATTTTCTTTCTCTTTTCTCTCTCTTTCTCTCTCTCTCCGTTTTTCGAAATTTTTGTTTCTTCTTTGAGAAGCTTTCCGTCAATGTCGACTCGTGGTCGTTACGGTGGTAGTGGTCGCGGCGGTGGCCGTGGCGCTGGAGGTCGTAGTTCTGACGAGAGACCGGAGCAGACCTCCGGTGGCCGCGGAGTTGCTGTTTCCGGTGGGAGAGGTCGCGGAAACGCCGGACGGGGAAGCTCTTCATCTCCTCCGCCGTCAGATGTTGTTTCCGGTGTTTCTAAGGAGATCGGAGCGAAAGTTGTAGCCGCGGACGTTGCTTCGTCTTCGGCGGCGTCCGTACAGGAGAAAACGACGAAAGTCCCGGAGTCTGACCCTAGTTTGACTCTCAGTCAAAGCTTAGCAGAGAAAGTCCAGATTTCTCCGGCGACGACTCTTCCACCGGCTTCCTCGAAGGCGGTGAAGCATCCGGTCCGACCAGGGTTTGGTAAAGCCGGGACGAAAACCATGATTCGAGCGAATCACTTCCTCGTCCAAGTTGCTGATAGAGATCTCTACCACTACGATGTAAGTTCCCTTCGATTTTTCCGATTACTTTATTTGAACCGTTGTTACCTTTTCTTCATTTTTTTTGACAACGATGAATCTGGATTTAGTATTTGCGTCTGTGACTTGTTTCATCAGCGACGATTTTTGTTTCGGTATTTGCGTTTTGTGACTTTTTTCGTCGTTTTGCGACTTTCTGGGTTTTGAAATTTGTTTGATTCTGTTGCTTCACAGGTTGCAATCAGCCCAGAGGTGATATCGAAGAAAGTTAACAGAGCCGTGATGAAAACTCTGGTGTCCACCTATGGAGCATCGCACTTGGGAAAGAGGACTCCTGCGTACGATGGCCGGAAGAGTCTCTTCACAGCTGGTCCTCTCCCTTTTGAAACCAAAGAGTTTGTTGTGGATCTGAAGGACAAAAAAGATGCTGCTTCTTCTTCTAGGTATGATGCTTATTGAAACTCTTTGTAGGACTAAGAACTTTCTCGTAGCACTTTTTTTTATTATACATGTTTTGGCTCTGTGGATTTGTGACTCTATTGTTTTGGCAGGAAGGAGAGGCTGTTTAAAGTTGCGATAAAGCTGGCGTCAAGGCCTGATTTGTTCCAGTTACAACAGTTCCTCCAAAGGAGAACAAGAGAGGCTCCCTATGAAACCATCCAAGTTCTTGACGTTGTTCTCAGAGATCAGCCATCGCAAGAGTAAGAAATTTTTGATTTTAGTGACTTGAACTTCCCAAGAGTCAAAAGCAATGTATATATACTAAACTTTCAATGTTGCAGCTATGTTACTATTGGAAGGTCTTTCTTCGACCCTAGATTGGGAAAGAGGGGTGAGCTTGGTGATGGTATTGAGTACTGGAGCGGTTATTTCCAGAGCCTTAGGCTTACTCAAATGGGATTGTCACTGAACATTGGTAAGGGATTGTTAAATGTTTTTTCTCAGTTGTTGCTGTTAATTAATCTTATCTCTAGTTGATTGAAATTTGAATATCTCTACACGAGTATTGTTTTTCTGGAGACTGTTGTGATGTAATACAGCTGTGTTGTTTTCTGTGATGCAGATGTTTCCGCTAGATCCTTCTACGAACCAATTCTCGTTACTGACTTTATCAGCAAATTCATGAAATTGAGGGACTTCACTAGACCACTGAGGGATTCTGATCGCGTCAAGGTATCAATCTGACATCTATTCAACCATTGAATAGTAATCTTATAGAGGATTATGTATTTATCTATGATGGTTCTCATCTTTTGATTTATCAGGTGAAGAGAGTTTTGAAGAACCTCAAGATACATTTGGCACAGTTTAACTACGAAAGAAGTGCCAAGATCTCTGGGATTTCCAACTGTCCTATCAGCCAATTACGGTGAAGTTTCTCATTTCAGTCACAACCTTAGCAAAATGCAGAGTTTGTATTATTATCTTTTGGCTTTTAAAGTAGCTGATTTTACCTTGTCTCTACTCATTTCAGATTCACGTTAGAGGACAATACCCAGAAGACGGTTTTACAATACTTTGTTGACAAGTATAACTATAGGGTGAAATATCCCGCACTACCTGCTATCCAAACAGGGAGTGACTCGAAGCCTGCTTATTTACCGATGGAAGTATGATGTTTTCAACTCTTTTACCTTCACCATTTTCTTAAGTTCTAATTTGTATCATTAAAGATCTGATTTGTTTTGCAGCTATGTAGAATTGCTGAAGGCCAGAGGTACACCAAAAGGCTAAATGAGACGCAAGTGACTGCGATGCTAAAAGCTACCTGCCAACGACCTCCAGAGAGAGAGGCATTGATCAAAAAGGTAGGTCCAGTCCAAGTTGCATCACCTTTACAACAGTTCTTGTTTAATGATACAAAGAGTCTATAATTTTCATCACATTTCTTGTTTCTATTATTAGATGGTCCAGGGTAATAAATTTAACGAGAGCGAGCTTGTGAGCAAGGAGTTTGGGATGTCTGTGACAGATCGTCTAACCTCAGTTGAGGCTCGCGTTCTTCCTCCTCCTATGGTGATTTTCTGGACTTATATTTTCGTGATTGATTAGTTTGACTCATTCTCTAGACATTTTCTTTTCAATGTTCCTCATGATATATCTGTCTACAGTTGAAATACCATGACAGTGGTAGAGAAAAAATGGTGAATCCACGGCTAGGACAGTGGAACATGATTGACAAGGTAACTGTAACTGACCGAGTATTTATAATGTTTCATATTCTAGTTCTGAAGTATGCTTGTATATATTTTGTTTTCATAAATCTTATACTTAGTCAACTGTTTTGCTTTGGTGTATTGAATACAAAGTTATTTGTGCGTAATGATTTTATAGTGGTTATACGTGTGCTATTTTTCAGTCTCTTACATGGTTTTGGCTCTGATTTTTTTTGTGTTCTAGAAAATGGTTAATGGAGCAAGGGTTACTTATTGGACTTGTGTGAGCTTCTCCACGAGGATTGATCGCGGTTTACCTGAGGAGTTCTGCAGACAGTTGACTGATATGTGTGTCAGCAAAGGAATGGTCTGATTTGTTTCATGCTTTTGGGTACTTCTTGACATGATTTGTTCATACCAGAAAAAGTCACTTAATCTTTTTTTTATCCTTAATTTCAGCAAGTTAATCCGAAACCTGCTATTCCTTTCATCTCTTGTTCGCCTCAAAATATCGAGGAAGCACTTAGAGATATTCACCAAAGGGCACCTAATCTCGAAATGTTGATTGTGATATTGCCTGATGTCACTGGATCTTATGGTAAGTTGGTGTAAATGGTTAACGTTATTACTAGACTAGATTGTAATTCCTTACAATCTGTTTTCATGGACTGTGTGCAGGAAAGATCAAAAGGATATGTGAAACGGAGCTAGGGATTGTCTCCCAGTGCTGTCAACCAAAAAATGTTTGTAAACTCAGCAAGCAGTACATGGAGAACGTCGCTCTGAAGATGAATGTCAAGGTCTTGTCATATTAGTTTCTTATTCTTTTATCCTTGAAAATTGTTTTATGTTTATGATGCTGTAAACTAAAGTGTTATTTGTATTATTACAGACTGGAGGACGCAATACAGTTCTTGATGATGCAATCAGAAGAAGAATTCCCCTGATTACTGATCGCGAGACCATAATCATGGGTGCTGACGTGACTCACCCACAACCTGGAGAGGACTCTAGTCCTTCTATTGCTGCTGTAAGCGTTAACTTGATTGCTTAATTATCTTACTTGTATCTCACTCTACTTTGATTAACAAGTTAAATCTCTTCTTAAAACATACAGGTGGTTGCCTCTATGGACTGGCCTGAGATAACCAAATACAGAGGACTGGTTTCTGCTCAGGCTCATAGGGAAGAAATCATCCAGGACCTGTATACGCTGGTGCAGGATCCAGAGCGAGGCTTAGTCCACTCTGGTTTGATAAGGTAAATAAACAAAACATCCACATTTTTCATATGTTTTCGTTTTCATTTTTCAGAAATCACAAAGAGTCCCAAATGCAGGGAACATCTGAGAGCATTCAGGATAGCTAATAATGGTCGAATTCCACAAAGGATCATATTCTTCAGGCAAGTCTTCTTCTTGATAGGTTTTTTTACTTGCTCAATATGTTTGTCTCTCAACTGTTTCTCTTTTTTTTTATATGCATATGCAGGGATGGAGTGAGCGAAGGACAGTTCAGTCAGGTTCTGCTCCATGAGGTGATCGCAATCCGCAAGGCGTGTGCCTCTCTCCAAGCGGGTTATCAGCCGCGTATCACTTTCGTGATCGTCCAGAAACGTCATCACACTCGGTTTTTCCCTGCTCAACATGGCGATCGTCACACTACCGATAAAAGTGGCAACATCCTTCCAGGTTTCTCACCATACAATCTTGCTTATATGATGATCATCTTCAAGATACAAACATATTTTGCATTTTTCTTCCGTTTAGGTACCGTCGTTGACACCAGCATCTGTCACCCGAGTGAGTTCGATTTCTACTTGAACAGCCACGCTGGCATACAGGTATCTCTATCTCTCTATCTATCGTTCCATCTTCTTTGCTTCTCTTACGGAATTATTAAAGTTTCTTTTTGTGTGTGTTTTGAATGGTTTTGTTTTATAGGGAACAAGCAGGCCTGCACATTACCATGTGCTTCATGACGAGAACGGTTTCTCTGCTGATGCATTGCAGATGCTCACCAACAGTCTTTGCTACACGTAAGTACTCAAAACGTGAAACAAAATACATGTTATTACAGATTTTGGTATTTGTCTGAAAACTAAACATGAAACTGGCTACAGGTTTGCGAGGTGCACCAGGTCTGTCTCAATTGTGCCACCAGCTTACTATGCGCACTTGGCTGCATTCAGAGCTCGTTACTACATGGAGAGTGACATATCTGATGGTGGTTCGAGCAAGAGCAAGAACACAACGACCAGCGCTGCAGGAGTTGTTAATCATCATCTTCCAGCAGTCAAAGATAACGTCAAGGAGGTTATGTTCTATTGCTGATCCATCATCCTACTCTTCTCGGCTACTTTTTAACAACCGTAAGAAACAAAAAGACAATCTTCGGTTTTGGTTTTTATAACCTTCTCTCTTTTTGGGGTTTGGCTGTGAATATTTGAAGGTTTCGGCCAACTTTTATCTCTCTTAGGACCTTTATATGCGTTTTGGTTTTCGACGATGATCTGACTATAGTTTGTCGTTGTGGAAAGGGTTAAATTATGGTTTTTAGACTCAGAATTTTTGCTTCTACAACTATTTCTCTATTTTCCCAAGTTTACTATATTCCGTGCTTAAGTTAAATACATAGGGAAAAAAGTCACTTAAGTTAAAATCAAAACAGAACCATATATTAATAAAACGACGACTATCATTAGTTAGAAAAAATATCAAATAAAATTAAAACGTAACCATAGTCTAAAAACGACTAGTTGGAAAACTATAATAGCGTAGAGAACAAGTCTGTCTTCCTCTTTTCTAACTCCACAATGAAGAACAATCGGTGGCCTTGAAAGAAACGAGCTCCGAGGAAGAATCATAACCCACCAAAAAGTTGTTCTGTGCTCTGTTCCCAAAGAAGGCATATTGTGTCGGACCAACACACTGGATAGCCAAACAAGTCACTCCTCCCGTAGTCACATACATGTTGTACTTATCCAACACGAGATCCGCACCGCCGGAGAAATGCATGGTGATCACCGGAAAGAGGTCTAAGTTGTCGGTACTGTAGCAAAGCATGTTGCTCTCCGAGAAAGGTACTTGCTCCGCTTGCACAACACTGCTCACAGCATCCTTCACTTGGCTACAGTAACTATCCGGCAAGTAAGTGTAAGTCGTTCCAGAGTCGATGATTATGTTTCCGTCCAAGGCGTGAAACGATGTCCCCAACGTCTCAACGCGGTTATCATTAACGCTGATGGCGTCTAGGTTAAGGTAATAGAAATCTGGATTGTTACTCTTCTGAAACATATCGGTAGCTACTGTCCCATCTCCTGCTACGATAGCGTTACTTCCGAAGTTGATCTTGCTAGTTCCCTTGCCGGAGAAGCAGTAAGAGAAAATCCCCAAGAAGTCTTCACCCATCTGAGAGATGAGCGATGAAGATCCTCTGCCTAGACCAACAACGCCTGAAAAGGTCGGTTTAAGCCCCGAGTTGTTGCCACAACCAATGAGCGTTTCAGGCATCACAAAAGGCTGGCCTGAAGAGGACTGGATCGTGACTGTCTCGGATGCTAACGTTCCAAAGGAATAGCTATTGTCTGCGTAGATAGCTTGGTATGGACAAGAGTGGTCAGGGGTACTGTCACATCTTCTTGGTTTGTAGGTTGAGGATTTGGAAGAGTCGAAGATGGGAGCTTCTTGGTTGTAGCAGCTGAGACAAGGCAGGCATTGTGTCCATATTTGGTCGCTTCCTGTGTCTAAGACAGCTTGGATCTCCACAGGTGGAGTACCGACTTGTATCTTTATTAGGTACTCGTAGGTGTCAAAGACGGTATTGGCGTAAGGAGATGATCCGTCATTAACATTGGAGGGTCGGGAAGAGGAGTTAGAGCGGCGACGGTGGATTAAGTCGGTGGTGAAGCCGCCGGGAGGTGGTGATGATGATGAGGCAGTGGCGGTAATTAAGAGGAGACATGTGATAATGATTTGAAGAGAAAAGTCCATGATCATTGTGTTTACAAGTGACAATGATCGAGATGGTTTTGAGAGACAATGGTGCTATATGTCGTCTTCGTTCATGCACATATATATACATTTTGGACTTCTTGTCGTAATTGTTAAATGTCCTGATTTCTCAACTTCTTCCATTATTGTTATAGTAATGTCTCTTGTAACTTGGGAAATCTTACATTTTGTTACCCATTTTTACTTTTACTTGCGGGTTCTACAATTTCTTTTTACTTTGCATTGGAGGAAATTAATATCACTTTGTTATAGTGAATATGTATAGTTTCAGCCTTCAAGTAATTGTTGACGATGCACCCAAAATGCAAAGTATACTTTCAGCCTTCAGACACACGGAAGGAAAGTTTATAAAAAAATAAATGGAATTAGGCGTTCATATTGGGACTAGAGCACATTTTTCAAAAGTAGAATCTGAAACTGGAAAAGTTAAGGGATATGATGGAAAATGGAACTAATGAATTTTAGAAAAGAAAAATTGAATTTTTTAAAATAATATTGAAATAGTGAAGAACTGAGAGCTATAAAAATAATATTATTAACGTAAAATAGTGTCGTTTTGATGCTTTGCAAAATAAAACAAAACTAATTTCATAAATGATTGGTGAGTTTTACAATGAAGAACAATGAGCTTTTTTATTGGCTATTATAATTCAAAAAGGTAATGGTCTAAAAATCACAAGATAGAAACAAATAAATCAAAAATACATTCAAACGAAGGTTAAGACTGAATGGCCTTGGCCCTCGTGCATGCAAATGATGAAGGTGAAGCTAGCTCGTGGTCTTGATAAGGCAATGGATAAATGACATCCTCTATCAACAATGAAGCAAATTAAGAATTGTTCCGTCGAGTCGACAATGCGTCAACTATTCATTTTTTCAGAGAAGCTCAAGTAACGATCTAACAAAACTCGGAACAAAGAGAGAATAGTAACATCACATGGATTTATTGACTGAGTGATTTCTGAGTATAACAGTATAAATAAATATAGATTGACAAAGCTACAACAACATTTAGTCATTTACAGTTCGAGCCAACATGTATTAAGGAAGATGGTCCAAATCTAATTTCAATCAACTTCCTTATGTCACCGTAAGACACATGCAACTCCAAAAGACCATCTTTCTTGGAACACAAGCTAAACCTCTTTGGTATCATCAACCCAACACCTTTCTTAGCGCATCCTTCAGCTCTTCTCTTCTTGAAGGCTCCACCTGCATCACACATATTCACTTAGTCATACAGAAAAAGCCTCCAAGATAACAAAAAGGGAACAAATTACTCGGTCTCCTCAACTGTTTCATTTCATACCTCGTTTAGAAGATTAGCAAGTCCTTGTGGCAGAGCCTGCAGATACGACGAGTTCCCAATCTCCGCAAGTTGATTGAATAGTTTATGCGCTCTCAGCTCGCTCAGCTTCAACTCGTAGTTACTGACATTGTCCTTCCATGTAAAGAACAGTTGGTCGTCTGTCCAAGCTTCTTCTTTCCCCTTTGCAATGTCGGATTTGCAGAACCAATCCTGTATCAATCCCATTGCAGATATATAGGATAAGTTTTCTCCAGAAGCTTCTCTTACGTTTTTCACAAGAGAGCTCTCAGCAATTCTCCGGTTGAGCTTTTTATAGAAGAACGACCGTGAGCCACTCCATTCCACAACACTTTTGATCACTCCTTTTGCAGCCATTCTCGTGGAAGTGTCATGAAGTTCCGCAAATTTGGTGGCGATCTGGGTATAAACTGGTAAAAGCTGCTTCTCTCGGGCTTTAATCTGTTGCTGGAGAAGCTCAATGTTTGCATAAGCCTCACTTTGCTTGGCATCTTGCAGCTGTGCTTTGAGACTGATTATCTTCTGGTCTAACCTTCCCATGCACTCTAACATCTCTTTGGTTCTAAATTTTATCTCTATCGTCCCTTCTGGCTCAAGCACATTTCCACGAGCAGTTTCTTCAGCATACATTTCAACATAATCCGAGTTTATCTGGCTATCAACAACAACCCACGCTCCACCACGCAACTCTCCCATCTTGGGGATGTACACAAACACTGGTTGCCGATATGTTCTCAGATTTTCTACAATAGTTGAACCAGCCTGAAGTATTCCTTCGAAGAGATCTCTCTGTCCACCTGAAAACCCTCTCCAGTTCGCTAGGATAAACAATGGAAGCCCTTCCTTGTTGAAATCCATGAGCGCTTGAGCTGTCTTGGCCGCAGAGTCAGGAAACCAGACTTGTCCTGCTTGTGGAACCACTCTTTCATGAGAGTCGAGCTGTCCAGGATCTGCTGGGATGATCTGCATTACAGTCTGTGTCTCAACTGCGACAACTCCAACAGGTATTCCCCCGAGCTTAGCTCTACCAGTCACTACTGTCCTTGCCCAGCCTTCAAGAGTCTCAATAAAGCTACTTTTATCAAAGATACCACCAAGCCATTTACCGGTATTGTCATTAACCCCAGCAATAGCTGCTCGTGGGTCGCAAGAGTTCTCTGGGGCATACTCCACCATTCTCTCCGGTGGATCTAAAGGGGCAAGAACAGGAAGAGGACCACCCACGTAAGCAGGAATGTAGCTCAGCCAGTTGAGAATCGCTGATACGCCTTCAAGATCATCTGAGACTGTAAGATGAACAACACCATTTGTACCCATGATTTTCGGGCCACCAAGTTGCATGTGAGAGCTATAGACCTCACGCCCAAGTAACTTGTTGAGCGTAGAAAAGCCAGTCAAGATAATCGGCTGGTCTAGCCTCTGTATGCACCGCATACCCAAGCGGGCAAGGTAAGCACCAATTCCTACCGTTCTTCCACTCACAAAGGTTAAAGTAAAAGTTTCATTGTACGCCTTTGAGTATGCACCCGCTATTGCCCCACTCCCTGTTAAGTTCTCTACGCCAAGACCATCTTCTTTACCAACGATCGTATCAATCACCCACCTTGTTTCCCCACTAGGGAGCTTTATTTCGTGCGAAATGACAGATGATCCAATCCTTGCATGGTCTTCAGGGCTTAGGTACATATACTGAAAACCTTTCTCGGGGGAAACTTCATCTGACCATCCAACTTTAAAGCAGGCTTTGACTTCTTCAGCTACACCGAGCCGAGCACCAGAATTTGCTGCCAAGTAAATCAATGGAAGCTTCTTGGCACAAGCGAGTTCAGTCACAGCATGGAAAAACGCATCCTCTCTTGGACCAAAAGAACCAGCTTTGAAGGTGACATCATTGGAAACTATTAGAAGTTTTCGTCCCATAGGAAACTCAGGAGTTGCCATCTCTAGGCACCAAGCCACCATTCCAAACTCGTTGAAACCGGGGGGTCTTTCAACAGTAACAAGAGATGTACAAGAACTTTCTGGATTGGAGAATACAAGCTCTTTAACACTGATAAGAGTATTCTTACATGGTTTCTTAACTCCCGGGTGTTGGGATTCCCACAAATGCTCCAAGGCTGTCTCAAATGCCTGAAATAGCATAAAACGGGTTGGAAGTAGCCAAAAGAGTAAACCTATGTGTGTGAATCTTCTGAATTCTGTAACTAACCAAAGGGAAGTCATAGCAATAAGTAGTGTTACTCCTCCTTGCGGCTAGCCGTTGCCTGTCAAGATATCCCAGTGGCTTATATTGATCATTGATTGAAGTTCCATGCAAAGGTCCTTTCTTGGTTATCGAGTGATAAATTAAACTGTTTCTCCCAGTAGCTTCAACTTCTCGGTATATCTGAAACATCAAATCCCAGCAGGTTAAGTCATCGCAGTGATAACTTCAACTCTTACTTTCTGTATTACTTGTACGACCAATATTTGTAATCTGAACTTACATGGACAGTGCATGTACGGCCTGTCACGTTTGCAACCACAACCCTCCAAGCACTTTCCAGTCCAGAAGACACCAACCGCAGCCGCACTTCCCACTCGCACACACCCAATCTATGCATTCTCACTCCGACAGATTTGTGTATCTCTCGTGCTGCATTGTCTAAGATCATCTCCACAGTAGTTTCTTGATCCTCCGCATTCACTTCAGCTCTCCTGTGAGAAACACGTTGAAAATTATTACCATAAGGTCTGACATTTTATATACAATAACTTGCCATGGACACAACCATATTAACCTGGGGTAAGCCACAAGATCATCTATCTGCTGCTCACGCAGTATGGAAAGGAACATATGTGCGTGGTCTGGTTTCATGGCAGCATTATGGGCATTCAGTTCCAGTTCCTCCATGGCATCCATCAAAGAACTAATAATACATTTCGATGTAAATGGCATGGAGGACAGTGTTTGGCTAAGTTGCTTATCCTGCATTTGCTGCAACATAAAGCCATCGTTCATTGTAGCCTGTCGAACAAGAGATCTCAAGAACATCCTCTTGATTGGCACTGGCTTGTCTGTAACGGTATACAGATGCCATTGACGATTTCGTGAAGGTGTATACTGTATATTTGAGTATCCTTTCAGTTTATCCTGCATAAGACAACAGTAAACAATAGTTAAAAAAGATGCAAGATGACGCAGCAACGGCTCATATGATCATACCAACTCAAGGTATGTGGACAGAGGAGGCTCAAGATGACGCATCAACGGCTCTTCTGCATAATACTGTTTCTCCATCGACCAATAGAAAGAATGTCTCATGGGCGTTTGTCCTTCATCTTGCTGGATTATACAACTTATCACACCTACACCAGCAGAACGGAGGCTCGAACTCACTTCTTCCTCTGTAAGAATTTTTGCCAGCTTGTTTACTCTTTCCTGAGCTTGGTCTTCATTTTCACTGAGGCAAACAAACGAGCAAAACAAATTAGGTAGACAATATAGCACCTACACAGCTAGTTTAAAATGGTCAGGCTGTGTCGGGTACCAGTCCTGAAGCAGACTCGTATGATTGTTGTTGCCCACAATAGCAATGTGCATAATATTGCCAGATATAGGATCTTCTGCGGAAGATTCATAGTTGTTCTGATTTGTTTCTGCCAATGCTGCACTTAATGTACTCGGCAGAAACTGCAAGGATTTGATTATAACCATAGCCCCCCATTTTCTCTTACAACGCTTCTCAACCAATCCTTTTTCAGATGTTTCTTGATCGTCTAAGCCAATGTTTGTTCTCTCCATATGCTCTTCTAGGAACTCCCATGAAGCAATAAGACCAGACCGGTGCCACTGCATCCTCACACTTTCTTTGACGACGTAGGGCTAATGACAAACACAAGTTGAAATGAAGTCAAGATTGTCTGTTTAATAACTAATTCTGAAATAGGAAGGGTGCAAAAGAATGAAATCTAACCTGGTATAGTCTTCGAATATAAGTTTCAACAACCCGTCTTTGAAGTGTGTGATCGCTGTGCTCAAATAATCCCACAAGAGCATCTTCAACAGCTAAAGATGCACTCACAAGATCTTCCATCCTTTCATTAATGGCACTCTTTCTCTTGGGAGTATCCATATTTTCCCCATCCTCCGTAAGCATTTCTAACTCTGACAGGCTTCTAGCAATGTTTGAACGAAGTTCACTTAGTTTGGTCTGTTCGAGTAATTGACTCGCCTTAAGTGCCAACTACACACACAAGCTGATCATCAGTTGACGAACGTCAACATAGATATTATAATAATTAAGGAGCCAAACGCACCTCAGAGTAATTAGTATGGTTAAGTGTCGAGAATCGGATCAGTTTATCTCTGTATGCAGCAGGATTAGGGTAAACAAGCTGCTCCATGAGCCGGAGAACGAGTTTATTTTTGTTTTTTATGCCCTGAAATGAAGAACACATGAGCATACCATTCCAATGACATGAGACACCTGGTCTGAGAAGGATGATCACAGACCTGGTGAGAGAGCACTATATCCACAATCTTCAGCAGATCTTTCTTGTATTGCTGACGCATGCGTTCTATAACATCGGCCTATTCAAGTCAAATAAAATGCTTATTAGGACTCCTGTAACCACAAGGCCGTTTATTAGCTATTGAACCATATATTACCAGCATGTTATCATTGAATAGTTCTTCTACTGATAGGTATTCTTCAAAGAGGGAATGAACAATAACACGGGCATGACTTTCTCTACCACCTTCATAAGACTTTGCCAGGCTCATCAATGGTTCAACGAGCCTTTCAAGGGCGCCTCTTTCTTTCTCATCATAAGATGATAAATAAGCCTGTTGCAAGAAGTGAACCGGAAAAGAAGGCATTTCAGAAAGTAAAAAACAGGATGTAGCGGCTCAAATGAAAGAAATAATAGGCAATCACCTCAAGAATGCCTTTTAAAAGTTTGGCAGGGAAATCTGCGGTCAGCGAGTTTCTGGAGATACTCTCAAATTCCCTATACTTTGATTCTAGCTGATAAAGAATTTTATATGAAAATCATTAGACGTCTAAAAACAATAAAACAATTAACACAGGAAAGGAATACAGATAAAAACTAACAAAAAACAAATAAGTGTTTACCTTGTTCCTGAGGTCTTTAGGTAGTCGTGTTGCCAGAACTGCAAAGCACTCTTGCCACTGAAGGAATGGGAGTTCAGGACTATCAAGGCAATTAAGCAAGTCTTGAACAACCTGCAAGATATGAGCAATCTCAGAGTCAAATAATCATTTAATGAAAGTTGAATCAAATAGGAAAAACAAATCGCTTTTACCTCATCTACGTTATGTTCATAGCCGGCAAGAATCATGCGAGCAGCATTTAAAGTTGCAGCACATCTCTGGTGAACTTTACCAGAAATTGCTGTTGGAAGCCCTAATCTTGGGAAACTTCCATGGAAGGGTTCGGCCTTTCTTACAGCAGAAGGATCATCAAGGTCAAGCTTGGCTATAAGTTCACCAGCCTGTCGAGAATTGAATGGACGAGAAAATCAATGTCTGCAAATCTGTAGAAACCAATCTTTCTTTAGCAATGGAGTTTTTTTTACCTGCATAGCTTGTCCTTCAGACATTTTGAAATGGATAACTCCTGAAGCAGGTGAAAGAAGTGGCATGCACATTTTCATGACCTCAACTTCCGCATAGGGAGTATCAGCATCAATACTGCTATTATCTGAAACCAGATACCTCAGCAGCTTGCACGGTGTCTCAGCCATCAACTTCGAAGGATCATGATCATTCTGAATAAGCCAAAAATGGCAGATAACTTCATGCTCTTATGACTTAAGATATATGTAAAACAGAATGGGGAAAAAAACATATCAGTTGAAACCTGTAGTAAACAAGTTCTTCCATCAATGAGAAGTCGGGTTCCTGCCGCTTCTTCCTCTGCATATATCACATGGCTTTTACCATCCAACTGCAATGACAGAAAATAACCAACGCAGTTACTATGCATGACACATGTAAGTTTCTGTTTTGTAGGATGAAACTAAGGCAGAAAACTTGCCTGCATCAACAGACCTCCATCACGTAGAGTGTGTATTTCTGCTACAACTTGTGAGTTGTTCATTCTTAGCCTGTAGCTTCCTGATCCACCCCGGACCACATCGATCTAGTAACATATATGTTCAGGTTAGTGAGACTCGGTAACTACATCTTCAGTGCAAAATAATACTACAGAAGTAAGAAGCAATGTGGAGAAGTAGAATTTTGACACTAGACGTTTACCGTATATTTACTTCCTTCAATATTTAGAGACACTTGAGAATGCACAAGAGATATATGCTGCAATATAAGAGAAAGAAAGAGTAAGCTACGATAAAAAGAGAATATATGATTTTCATTATACTGCCGGCCTAGTTTGAAATACCTTTGGGGGAATTTGTCCCTTCTCAAGATAACCAACATAATCCGAGACCACGGCAGCACTGGTCGCTGATGCTTTCTGGAAAAATAGAACATTTCGTCACCAGATAGAAACTTTTCAAGAGATATAGATATCCGAGAAAAAGGCTCTTACATAGAGAGCTCCACCTACAACAGAGAGATACCATGGGGGCCTCTCTGCTCTGACCCGCATAGCAATTCTACTGTCCAACCAACCAGTGTGAATTTTGTTTCCCCGGTAATCAGAAGCCTAATCAACAATAGAAATGATCTTGTCAGGGTACAGTGAAAAGACACAGTGTAACTTTTTGAGTAGCGAGAAGGAAAGTTACATGTAGAAGGTCAATGGTATAGTCAACATTAGTCCTAATTTCTCCACGAATTTGAATTTCTTTCAGCCCAAGAACCATATTTGCTATTGCCAGGGCTCTGGATTCCCCAAATGCAAAAACATGGCCTGAATAGAAGATTAAAGGAAGTTTCAATTTGTAGAGTCAAGAAAAGAACTGACCTAGCAGCCTAAATATTTCATATAACTTACCAAACTGGGAATCTGAGAACTCGTGGATGCCTCCACCAGACTGTAAAAAACAAAATCTTCGTAAAACTTTAAGACATAGTTTACACATAATATAGGAGAGCATGTATAGATTTGTCTACCTTGACAGAGAAGTATGCCCAGACGTTTGGCTTGCTCTTAAAACTCAACTCCTGTTGCAAGTTCATACGAGTGTTAACCCCACACAGTCTCAGTGTATAGACTATAACTTTGCATATCATATTACCTGTACTTTACCGCCGGTAGGCTTGAAACCGTCATCAGGATCCTCGCTTGTGACACGTACAGCCACACAATGACCTTTAGGTCTTATAGATTCAGCTTTGTCAAAATCAAAAGGAGAGGCTACGACAGATGTCTGCCTCCAAGAATCGTAACCTCCACCATGTTCTATGCCATAGAATCGTCTTATCTCTGAAAAATCAAAATGAAACAGACTGTATATATTACATATGACTGGAAAAGGAACCGCTGCCTCTGGAAAATAAGGATGCAAGCAATACCAGGGATTTGCCATAGAGGAATTCCCATCCCCACAGCAACTTGGGCAGCAGGAAGATTTATCTCGGCAATCCACTCAGTTACAGGGTGCTCAACCTGATCACAAACATCAAGTTAAAAATTCCTCAGCATTCAAGCCCGAACCTTTAAATTGAATTCAATACAAAATGCAGCTGTAGTATGAAATCAAACCTGTAACCGAGGGTTAAGCTCTAGGAAGTAATACTCCCCAGTTTCCATGCTGTAGAGATACTCGACAGTAGCAGCACCAATGTAGTTAACACTCTTAGCCAACCTTCTAGCTGCCTGCTCAAGTTTCTTAACGGTTTCTCGCGGAGCCACAGTGATTGGACCTTCCTCTATGATCTGTGATACAAACCATAAAGTAAAAACTCATTCAATCATTTGCATCCACGGTCTGTCTATAGGGAGTATAGCTCAGTCGGAGGACAAAACTAAAATATATAAGAATAAAGTAGACGGTGTATTTTGAAGGAACCAAGCAATTAGAAATCCAGATTTAAATAACTTACAAACCTTTTGGTGTCTTCTCTGGACGCTACAATCACGGCTATGCAGAGCTGAAACATTTCCATACTGGTCACAGAGCAACTGGACCTCTAAATGCCGACTCTGTACAACACAATTATAAAGAAATGACATGTCAAGAAAAGCAATGCAATACCCATGTAAGAACTCAGCTATGCTTAGATCAAGAGATATATTTATAGAAACTGTACCTGTGAAGCAACCTTCATTATAAATATCGGTGATCCAGGGACCTCACCCTGAACTTGCTTGAATAGAGCCTTAACCTCATCATCATTATGAACCTAAAAAACATAACCAGATCAAGTACACGTATATAGAAATTGGCTTAGTCTACAATGAAACGTGGAGAGTGACAGTCCAAAGGCATATATCTACATAAGCTGACCTTCCTAATGCCTTTACCGCCACCACCCCAAGATGCTTTGATCATTGCTGGGTAACCGACAACTTGACAACTAGCAATCGCTTCTTCAGTTGTGTAGACACAAGCTTGCCTGTAGATCTCCTCCGGGATCGTTACCAAGTTGCTGTCTGGAGGAATTTTAACCTGAAAAACAAAAGAACTCATCATTTTGACTGAACAACAACTCTCTGGTAAACAAGCTCAGCTTCACAGGTGCTAATTTTACTTACATGGGAACCACTCCATGGCAGAGTGGGTACATCAGCAGCTTGTGCAATCAACGACGAACCAATCTTATCACCTAACGCTGCCATTGAAGAAGCTGGGGGACCAAGAAATATTATTCCTTTCTCTTTTAGGGCATCAGGTAACTCAGGGTTTTCAGATGCATGACCCCAACCAGGCCAAACTGCATCCACATGCGTTACCTCGGCCATCTGCACATAGTAATTAGACAGAGATAAACCAAGATTAGCTCCAATGACCACAACTTCCTCAACTAAGCTAAGCAAATTATTTAGATATTTGCATTCACCTCTACAATAAGCTGAACATTGGCATAATTGTTATTGTTTGTTCCTCCAGGAACCTCCACAAACTGATCAGCGATTCTGATATGCTCCGCATTGATCCGCATGTCTTCAGGGGTCGCCATCCCCACCAACAATATGGCTCTTTCCGTGCCAAATGTTTCGTAAGCCCAGGTTCTGACACTACGTATGAACTTCACAGCAGCCATTCCATTGTTGGCGATCAAAATGCTATGTATTGGGGTTTCCCCTCCAAGGGCTTTACAGAACTCATCCACTTCAGACACCGTCACATGGTTTCTACCGGGTACTACAGCACTTTGATACCCGTTAATGGAGCTAGCCATTGATACTATCCTTTGAGCTTCAGATATATCTGTAAAAAAACAGCCACAAAGACCATTCTAAATCACTTAACAACGAAATGAGCAGCTAACATTTTCTCAAGAATCCTGAATGCATCATAGTTCCAAGGTTTCTTATTTTTCAACACAGATGACAGCAATGCGTTGCGTATTCATATAAAAGGAAAAGCATAGGACAAGCTAAACACAATTATAAGCAAAGATCCTTCGCAAGTCAGTGAGGTTTCCATTATTATATAAGATTTTTTTTTATTCAAGTTATTCTCTTTTTCTGATAATGAGTTCCTTTTAGAAAGGGAAAGAAATCTGAGAGATCTAAAGGACAACTAATGATTACAATTCCCCCAAAGAAAAATTGAACTCGAAAAGCACAAAACTTTACAAACCCAGACCATGAAATTCCTGAAAAATTGAACTCAAACAATGAAATTCCAGACAGAAAAATGAAGTCCAAAACCTGAGCCCATAATTGAAGTTTAAATCACAATGATCCCAAAATTAACGAAGAAAATCACTAAACTCCTCATCGCAGAAACTCAGCAAATGGAACAGTCAAACACACAAAAACCGAAATTAGCCTAGAAAAAAAAAGAGTAAACTTTCAATTGTTAGATCAGAAATGAAGACGACGCAGCTCGAAATCAAAGAGACCCATCAAAGCAAAACACCAAAAAAGCTAAAAAGGAGAAGAATTTCGAACCTGGTAGTAGAATTTGGGAATTTGGGTTGAGAGCAGTCAAAAAATCATCTCAAAGTGCGAGAAGAATATAATACAGAGAGAGAGAGGAGAGAAGAGAGAGAGAGAGAGGGGTTTAAAGAGCGGGAGAAGGAAGAGGGGAGGGGTTAGGTTGGAGTTAGAGAAGAAGGAAGGAAGTGGGGTCGGAAGACTTAATAGTGGCAGATGAAGAAGAGAAAAAGAAGAAGAAGAAGAAGAGAAGAGAGAGCACGTGGTGTCTGCCTCCGCCACACTCCACACCTTCTCCATTGTTTTTTTTCGTAATTTTTCAGATCCCTTTTTGTTAGGAGGCGCCGTAGTTGTTCCTCAGCTACCCTCCTCTCTCGCCTCTCACTCTCTCATCTTCACCTTCTTGTTTTTTCCGCACTTTTTTAATTGGCTCTTCTTGATTTTGCATCCAACATGTCATTTTTTATTTACCAAACCATAAATCTTAGTAAAAAGTCAAACTTTACTGTGGGGAAGCTTTGGTTGTACTGTAGAGTTATATTATTCCACTAGTAAGTGCACAAGTCTTAACCATAAGTCCTTGAGATTCTTGGTTACCAATAGTGGGACTGCGCTACCAGTAGCCAGTTTATGTGGCCTCCATGCCGAATCTCTTGAATCATTTAGATAATAGGTTAAAATGTTGTCAAAATACTAACCATCGCTGGGAGAGTAGGTTAACCATTGTTGAGGGAGTAGTTTTACTATAATATTTAGAGAATTTGAGTTTGTAATACTCCAGTGAAATAATCTGTCTAAACATCTGAATAAATTGATCCATGAATCCTTTGTTTAATCAGCCTAACGCCTTAGTTTACTAATTTAAGTGTAATGTGACAATGGAGGAGAATTCAACAATCGTTTTTGATGTTGAGGCTTTGACATATCAACACATCTCCTCAGTATTCTTCCTTAAACCAAATTCTTTTATCGGCAGCCTCTTTCAACAAACTTGTATCACATAATTATCTATAAGGTTTTGGATGCCTTCACTATCCTAGTCTACTTCCCACATTGGCAAACAAACTTGCTCCTCGCTCAAGCCAATGTGTGTTTCTTGGTAACCCGATTAATCATAATGGATATGGCTGTCTCAATCTCTTTTCTTGTCAAATAATTTTATCTCTTCATGTCATTTTTGGTAAATACACTTTCACTTTGGCTTCCACTACATCCTCTTCTTCTCTAATTCATCTTGCACCATCTTCACCTTTTGTGTCAAATGCTTTAGCAATTGTGAAAACTATTGCTCTAGTCACTGTGACAACAATTACTCACACAACTGCGCAACTATTGCTCTAGTAACTGTGACAATTACTGAATTACTACTCCATCAACTATGACAACAACTGCTTTAGCATCGGTGACTATGATATATACACTGAATTTTACCTGTTATATTACTAAGATATTTACAAGTTTTTATAATTATTTAGTAAAGTATTTAGTGTGGTAAAGTAATTTGTTTTTGTAGTGTGTACAAAACATAATCTAACATACAACCGTAGAAATCAATTTATTTGTTCGACAATGAAAGAAATTAAATTAAAAATAATATAATTAGGTAAGCTGTGAAGAAGAAAGTAAATTCCCTACCATCCCGTGATAAATGAATTTCAAATCTTCTTGAACGCTACATATGTGACAAAGAGATCATGACGAAGGGGGTCGCATTGCCTGAGATATATTATTTCGTTTTCTTTGTCGGTCTATTTCCGTTTAGAACTCTTCTACTATTGTATTCAGAATAGACAAATAAATAAATATTAGTTAAAGCCAAGAGAAATTTGTATTAGTGTTTAGTCGTTGACGAAGGGTTTAGGCGACCAACCTTCATGTTTCTCTTGCTCGGAATCATTTGTTCATATGTAATTCTTCTCACTCTTTTTCTCTTATGTTTTTCTCATTTATTGTATATCGTAATTTGGGACAAGATCTAAATTAGTTTTTCATCCATCATATCATATGAAATATGCAATTACTAAAGATTAATTAAATACCTTTTGAGTCACCAAATCCTTCAGGCTTCATCTACCTACCTCATACAGAGATCGACCATCTCTTTACAATGTCCATATTTATCGAAGACAATAAAATCTATCACATTTTGTAAGTCAAATAATGCCACAATATGTTTTCCCAAGATTTTGGTGTAAAAAATGCATATAGATCTACAATCTGATTTTTAATTTATATATATGAAAAGATGATTAGTTGACTTGTTGACAGATAATTATTAGTAAAGGCTTATGAATATGGGTCGTTGAGATATAGTTGGGAGTTAGGTATGGGTTGTATAATCCAGTCTCATTCTTTCTCATTATTTCCTCAATTTTTGCGACTTTTGAATTGTTAAGTTATGTCGATTTTTTTTCTTTTTTTTTTTAACTTATTATTTCATACCTATAAAGCCTTATATGCGTTCCTAGTTACGCCGGCTTATTCTTAGAGATGCTTTGTATTTTCTTGAGTCAAAGTAAATGACCTTTGTTTACCTATGACAAAGTATCCAAAGTCAATTATCGTCTGAACATGTTGCTAACAGAATATATGTCATTCTATTAAAAGAAAGGAAAAAAATAAATCTTATAGGGAGTCAAGAAAAATAAGTCTGATAGACTTGGTCAAGACTCAAGAGTTATAAGAAGAGTCATCTGTTTTTAATCCTTAACAGAAAAAAAAAAAAATATATATATATATATATGGGAAATTATAATCAATAATCATATTGGCAACCAAAATTAACAAACTAACCATATGAAACTCTTGGCTAGAGTACAAAATATATTTTATACAATAATACCAATTTTGTCCTTCTTCTTTTATACATAAAAATCAATTCCATACTATTTTTTGTGTGTGTATGGGATATAACCATGTTTTCTTTTTCTCATTTAGGGTTTAGTTTTTTTAGATTTAGGTTTCGATTTTGTGTTTAGTATTTTGATTTTAGGTTTGTGTTTATATTTTTAGTTTAGGATTTTGGGTTTCAGTTTAGGATTTTGTTTTTTTTGGTTTAGGGTTTAAATTTTGGGTTTTAGGTTTAGAGTTTTTTTCTTAAAACAGGGTTTATATTATAGTTTTAGGTTTAGTTTTTTCAGTTTAGGCTTTAGGGTTTAGGGTTTATATTTTATTTTAGGGTTTAGATTATTTTTGGGTTTAGTATTTGGTTTTAGATTCTACACCCTAAACCTAAAACCTAAAATATAAATCATAAAACCAATATGTAAACCCTAAACTCAAAAATTACTCTAAACCCTAAAATCTAAACCCTAAATATCTAGTAGAAGTTTTGTTCTACAACAACAATAAATAGTATAGTATTTTTTAGGGTTAATATAGGTAATTTTGTGTGAATATATTTATGTATCATAGCCAAACATTTGTAATGGCTATATTCTTAATATTTTCCCAATATGATTATTCACCAAATTAACCCTATATATATCTTTTTTTGTTCAGGTTGATTTCCTTCTTGATCTGATTCGGATTGTTAAAAACGAATCAAGAATAATCCAAAATTTGAATCACAATTTTATAGTTAGTTAGGATTAAATAATAATTTGAGAAAATAAATGAATTAGTTGATAGAACTTTAACAGAATTATTTTCAGAAACTACTTTGCTGAAAACTAGATATTTTTTTTGTTAAAATGAAAACTAGATATTTGTTTCTCTGGTTTCGGAATCTTGGTGAAAAAGGTCTTTCAACATTATAAAGAAGATTAAAAAATTGTCTATGCATACTTGCAATTATAAACCTGAAAATTTTCTGTGACTTGATCAGTATCCAACATTTGATTGATATAGTATTAACCAAGAACAGAGAAAATCTTTTAGTAGTGGACATACTAACGGAAGTGAAAATTATAGATCTAAAATTAAATTAACAAGTTCAATAGGCGCAAAATAAACAACGATGGTGCTAAGATAAATAAGATAATTTCTTGTGTAACAAGAATTACATTGAGCAAATAGAATGAAAACAACAAACTAAATCCTCACTGGTATTCAAAACCATACAACACATTATTTCTTTAGAATTCATAGAATAATAACAGAAAAAAAGATTTCTACTAAATTAACGTTTAGTTTTTTTGGATAAGACCTAAGCTAAAACGTAAGCAAAAGAAGAAACTATCACGGCAAAAATGAATAGTTTAGATAGAGACAAGTTCCCAGTTCCAGATTTAGATGGTGCCGGTGCTGGAGCATACATCGCCGGTGATGAGTGGGTAGTTTTCGGTGCCGGAGCAACAACTCCCGTTGGTTTAGGTGTAAGATCAAGAGATGGTTTTGGAGATGAACTAGAAGGCTTAGGTGGCTCTGCCGCCGGCGGAGAAGCTGCATGATACCATAATACATTGATTTTCTAATGTATAAAACTTAATTTAAAAACTGAAAAGCATTCTCTTTAAATAATATCTTATAATACTTAGGTTCTAGACGTTTTTTTTATAGAAAAGCTATTAAAACTTACCCATAGAAGAAGAAGCTGGTGCTGATGGAGCTGGACTTGATGCAACATCTGCATAATTAAATTTATAGCATGAACAATAAATGTTCAAAATCATTCACTTAAAAGAACAAAAATATTAAGAAATATGAGATGATAGGGAAAAAAAATGATTACCACAATGAGGAGTAATGTGTATGTTGCAACTAGAAGGCAAGCCAAGAGCTCTGCTATCAATTAGATCAAATCCCATTGATCGACTACTCTCCAATGCAACGCAAAGACAGTTGGGATCATATTCAAGAACACCTTCGACCCCAACACAACATGATTTGGTCGGATTAAGATCCGTTGATCCAGCAGACAAAAACGAGAGACAATCAAACATGCCGTAAACTACAGTGGAGCAGTCGGACTTTGACGGTGCATTTGTTGGAGATAACAGCGGAGACTGTGACGGTGAGACATACTCAGCATGAGATAAAGATATGAGTAATAATACAATAGAGAGAACAAAGGATTGCTTCATTTTTTTTTCTTGGTTTTTTGTTGTGTTAAAGCCACAAAGGTAGAGACGTTCCTTATATAAACGTAGAAACAGTTGTTTTGAATTTTTATTTTATTTTAAGCTTAATAATCTCGTAAATTAAGATTCATTATTGATTTGGGTTGATCTGCTACGCTTAAAATTATCCGATTTGTTTGGCTCAAAAACAATATTTATTTTTTCTTTAACTAAATTTTAAAAATATCAAAAAATTTGAATTAGATTTTGCGATTTCCACATGGAGTGATGATATTCATTAAAACACTGAAAATTATACATTTTCGTAAAAGGGCCCAATTTTTTAAATGGTAATCTAATGATCCAATCAATAAGCCCAAGTTACTGGTTCCTCACTTCCTTCTATACAATTTTGCATAAAAGGGCCTATATTTATTGCCTTGTTTGTCTTCCATTGAAGAGAAAATCTTCCAGGTCCTCTCTGCTTCTGTCGTGTGTCAAATCTCTTCTTCTCGACTCTTCTTCATCGCCCTCTCTCGCTTCCACATTCATCTTCTTTCTCCAGAACTTCTGCTACTCTTATTCTACTACTCTCAGGTCGTCTTTCTTTATCACCTTGTGAGGTAAGAATTTCGTCATTTTCCAATTCTTGATTCAAGATTTTCTATGGATGATCCGAGGATTAATAGTGTTTACTCTTTTAGGTTCAATGGAAACATGTAACAGTGATGACGTCGTCGCTTATCTTGATCACAAAATAGCAAAGTCTAAACGAGATCAAGATTGTGATGAGTTTTCTGATTCTGATTTAGAAGATGACTCTGAAACGGTATGATAAGTCTTTTTTTTTTAGTCTAAAATTCTTGTGGTGGTAGAGAGAATGAATGATCTCTCATTCTCAAGCTTATCTTATTTTGGTAGATGAAGACAGAGACTGATACATCAGCTCAAGAAGCAAGAAATGGCAAAGACATTCAAGGGATCTATTGGGAAGGGTTTAAGTACACTAGAGACGAGTTTCGTGAGACAAGGTTGAATCAGTATGAGAATTTCGTCAACATCTTGAATCCTCACTCTATGGAAACGCTTGATAAGGTCAGTGTAGCTGTGATTTGAATATCCACTAATTGAAGTTTTTATTTTTTTTCTGTATCTGAAGAATGTTACAATTGACAGGAACATTTGCAAGTTGAGAAAGGAAATAAGTTTTACGACTTCCAATTCAATACAAGGCTTGTCACATCTACAATTCTGCATTTTCAGGTAGAGACTTTTGTAGCCTACTAGAGGTCATTTGCATCATAATTGGACTAAATGGGTCTCATCTGAAAATCTATGGACTGCAATAGTTTTAGCATTGTTTCGATATTGGTTTAGTTGGTAGATAAATGTTATCATTCAACTTAATTTTACACTTCCAGAAATCAAAGGCCAGCATGTCAGGTTTATCTATTCACTTATATACTGTTCTTACAGAGATCTTGGAGGATGCTTGTACTTATATTTTCCTTACTAAGGTTATTAAAAGTCCTAAACTTTATCAGCCAATTGAAACCGAAGAACATTGGCTTAAGTAAGCAGAGAGGCAGGTTTATATGGTAGGCTTCAAAAACATTTCATGCTTCAATCTTAGAAACATACAAGTAGGAATAGTGTTGGGGGTTGGAACAATTATGCATTGGTTCATTGTTGCATGTATGCAGTGTGATTATTTCTAATGTGACTATGGCTTATTAGCATATATTTCTCAATGCTTTTGTGGCATTTAGGATCATTTTACTCTTATTTCAGCCTCTAATGCAGTTGTGGAGTAATGTTTGAGCAGCCAGCGCCATAAACGATATCCATTTGGTAATGATAGGAGAATGTTTTCACATTAGAGAGATCCCTGTAGCCATGTGTCCAGATTAGAGTTGCATTTCTTATTGCTTCATACGGCTTTGCTTGCATCTCATCTCGTGTAAATGCAACGGCATAATCTTGTTACATGCAGGGGATGCTTCTTGCTTCTTGATTGAATCTGATTTTATAAGCAACTTTATCATTTGATTTTTGTAAAAGAACATTGTTACATATGTAATGGCTTTAGTTTCTAGCTTGAGTTCATAAGAAAGAGAAAGAGATATAAACTCAATTTGATATCAAGGCTGCTACTTACCTCATATTCATATACAAGAAAATCTTGTTTTTCATGTTTTCTTTTGTCCTGGCGCGTGATTGATGGTTCATATTCGTCCTTTGCAGCTTCGGAACTTGGTATGGGCGACATCAAAGCATGATGTCTATCTAATGCAAAACTATTCAGTCATGCACTGGTCATCTCTGCTCCAGAGAGGGAAAGAAGTAGTAAATGCCGCCAGACCAGTTACCCCCACTCTGGTTAGAGAGCTTTAAAAGTATTTGCAAGGCCGTCCCTGACTTTACATGGGCCGCAAGCCAAACTTAATTTTGGGCCGATGAAGTAATAAATTAAAGAGAATTTTAAAAGGAAAAACATATTATGCAGAGGGGAGATTCAAACTCTACACCTTAAACCAACATAATATCACGCATAACCAACTAAGCTATAGGAGACTTTGTCAAAATATGGCCGATTAAATTCTTATTTAGAAACAGGGCCGCAAGCACCTGCTTGTCCTGCTTGCTCCCAGGGACGGCTCTGTTGCAAGATTTAGCTTTTCTTTCTTTTTCAGATTGATCTTAGTTTCTTCTTTGATTTGTTCACAGAAACTATTATCCGAGCCACTCTCCAGAGTGCAAGTTAGCAGCATGGCAGTCAAAGAAAATCTGATACTCATAGGAGGATTCGATGGGGAGCTTCTCTGCAAGGTTTTCACAAGTTCTTCGAATAGTCGTTGCTTTTTCCACATACATATCCTGTAACTTGTATTGCTCTTCTCTTTTATCCAGTATGTAAATCAGCCTGGTGTTGCTTTCTGCACAAGAGTAACAACAGAAGATAATGCCATCACAAACACAGTTGATACATACCAAAGCACCAGGTAATGAAAAAGCAAGAGAGTTCTTTGGTTTTACGTTCTTGAACTTGGACTGAAGTTTCTTCTTCTTTTCTTATTGCAGTGGCTCTCTTAAGGTTATAACTGCGAATAATGACTGTAAGATTCGGGTTTTCGATGCTCAGAGCTTTACGCGTGTCAGTGCATTTGCCTACAGTTGGTCTGTCAATGTGAGATTTTAGACCATCTTTTTTCTCTACTCCAGCTGCCAAATTTATCTAATCAGAAAGATTCAAAACACTCTGATTTTCTTGCAGAACACGTCGGCTAGTCCAGATGGGAAGCTGCTCGCTGTGCTCGGGGATAGTACAGAATGCTTGATCTCTGATTCTCAGTCTGGGAAAGTAAGTTATAAAGCTTATCACTTTTATGATCTCTCTGTTCTCATCCACATTCAAGTTTTTGTTAATGGACTTGAGGACATGTTTTCAGGTTATTTCAAGCCTCCAAGGCCACAAAGATTACTCGTTCGCATCGGCTTGGCACCCGAATGGTCTAATCTTAGCAACTGGAAACCAAGACATGACATGCCGTCTCTGGGACATTCGAAACCCGTCAGAGTCATTCGCGGTCTTGAAGGGAAACATGGGAGCCATAAGAGGACTCAAGTTCACAACAGACGGAAGGTTTCTTGCCATGGCTGAGCCGGTAGACTTTGTTCACATCTTTGACTCGCAGTCTGGGTTTCTTAAGTCCCAAGAGATTGATCTGTTTGGGGAGATAGCTGGGATCTCGTTCAGTCCAGACGCAGAGGCACTTTATGTTGGGATCGCGGACCGCACTTATGGAAGCTTGATGGAGTATAAGAGGAGAAGTGATAATCATTATGTGGACTCTTTCTTTTAGTGAAAAGGATAAAATGTAAAAATATTGAGGCATCTAAAATGTGTTATGGGTTTTTCCACTTTGAAGTTTATGTGTAGAGATACATAAATTATGTAATTTTAGTGTGGAGATGTATGTGTGAATATTGGTTGTGTTAGTGTAAGTGTAAGTGTAGAACTCAGTGGCTGTGTTGTATTGTATCCTTCTTAAAGTTACTATTATCTGTATTGCCAAACTCTAAGGATGTTGCGTCTGAAGAATCTTGTAACTACTAGTTTATGTATCAACTCGTAGTAACTGAATAGCTTTTGTCCGAATTGATTGTTTTCAGATAATTAAGTTTTTTCTTCTAGCTCAATTATAGCTTCTTCACTTTGTCTTTCTTATTAGGTAGTTCTTTCTCAAGCTTCTTCATATTTCTCTACAACAACGTTTTCTCATTGATCGCTATATATTTTCGTTACTGACTTTGATTTATCAATAATCAAGACTTCAAAGATCAGCTTGATAATCTGCCTTATGTGCTCTAACAGAATCGTCGAAGTCAGATTGTTAGCTTTCTTTTATAGGTTCAAATGTATGCAATGTATGGAGATAAGGACATATTTAGATTTAGTTATATCTACAATATATATTCTAGTATATCTCTATGTGGATTAGTATCTACATACTCTACTATGTAAACCCATTCAAGACAACTTAATACAATACACTTTTATAAGTTATATCACAATGATAAAAAGTTAGATACGTATTCTTTCATCTGATTTTGTATTAACCTTTTCATTTTTTTGCGAGTTAACATATGTTGTGTTTATGTTGTCATAACCTTTGCGGCTTTGAACTACTAATCTCTCTTGGTTTTAGGAAAAGCTGATATGAAGTAAGTACCCAATACCATAAGCCTGAACTTCATCTTTCTTCTACTCTTATCAATGAATTCGATATCGATTTAAATAAATATGAAGACATTGTCTATTATGAATTTAGAGACCCAAATATTTGTTGTTTAGAGTAGACGCAAAAAATACTGTATTAGACTTTAATGTAACTAAATGAGAATAAGAAAGTCAACCCCATCCCACGTGGACTGCAGGTGAGCATAAAGGCTGATGCTGCTGCATACGTGAGATTATGAATTAAGGCAAGCACGTAAAATGATCTACGAAAAATAAGACCAAGTTACTAAACGAACCAAGATTAAACTCATCGTCCTTTGGAACACCCATGCGTCAATATGTTAAACTTCTGTTTTCCTTTTCTTTTTCAAAACACTTTTAAATCTTAATTTTGCAAAATCAAATATACAATAGTTATATCGTTTTGCCCGTTTGTAAAGAATAAGCTCATCTTTATAACTTATTTCGGAAGTACAACATGGGATGTTTATTAATGCTGAATCTCATTTTGTTTTATACCAATTGTCGTGTGACCACCATGCTCATTTAAAACTGTTTACCTCATAATTTCATCTTCTCTTCAAGTCTACTCGAAGAAAGTTAGCTTTGATGTGTACATATATACATTTCCCGAAATAGATTAGTTTGATTCTGTAATAACGTTGACGCCAAATAAAAATACTATATTGTAATGTTTAAATAATTCCTCGAGTACACGTATCGTGCTGTCATGCATTTTCTTACGTTGAAATCTATACAGTCGTATAAGGTTCAACGTACCAAAATTTATTCTTACAAACCCGACTCGTATTTCATAAATGCAAACCCATCAATTGAGCTTTGCTCTATATATTGTTATTACCGAAGAGAGAGTGGTAATCACTTATGTTAGCAAACGTGATTAGAGTCTTGAAAAAAGGATTAGTCTCAAAGTATGATCCATGCTCTACGATTGTGTTTTAAATATTGTTGCGTCTTGGTTGATTCATTATCATTGCTTTTTCTTTGGTTGATTCTTTGATCTAAAACGTTCATTTTATAGTCCTCTTTTACATTAGATTCATTTAGTATACATTTACTTGCTTTATTGCATAATTACTTGTATAATGTTTAGTTCTTTAATCTGGTCATCATTTATACTTAACTAGAGGTAAACACATGGTCAGTGGACACAAGATCTTAATGCTCATTACTATTGACCGGTAAAAGTTGTATTTGACTTATAAATACGAATAACGCGTTGTTTATCTTGACCAAAATTACCACATAAACCAAGAAAGAAAAAAAGAGAAAGAGTAAAGAAGATGATAAACAACTGTCTTACGTGTTTAATCCAATTCTACCATACGAAACCCACACTATACTTAACTTGTAAAGAACGGAAATGATTTCCCTCTCGAATATTCAACCATCAAACTTTAAAGATAACTTATAATATTAGACAGTAATTGCACTTAGGCTCTAATAGACACTAATTATGAGCGTATCTCCATCATTTGATACAATCATAGAAAACTTTAGCCTTGTTATTGGGGATTATCCGTCCAACACGGTCCACGAATCATTCGAATTAACTCTAATTCTACCCTCTTTTTTTTTTTTTTTACACCTTTGGCTTTCTTTATTTGTCGGTATGCAAAAATTCTAGTTTTAACCAAGTGTTTTCGAGTTAGTAGTTTTCACTTGAGGACTTGAGGAGAACTTATCTTGTTGGTCTAAACCAGAGAATCTCCTTAATCGTGATATTATATCTAAACCAATCTTATTTGACTAGTCGAAATAGTCTCATGCTTTAGAGTTTAGACTCATTAGAAAACCTGGTGAATGGACTACTCAACGGCTACACCTACACTCTTGGGGAATTAGTTGGGTGTTAAAAACCAGAATACAAAATAAATCTAGTTTTACTCGTAAAAGCTAGCTAAGCTATAGCAAATGCTTACAAAAAATGTATAATGCCCTAATAATAGTTACTTCAAGGGCAAAATAAATAAGCTATGAAGTAAAAGAGTGTGTCTAAGCAATGCTTAGGGAAGAGAGAGTGATACTGAAAACAGAAAACACACACGCGTGAGCGTGAGTCTTGATTTCGAGACGATGACGCCAACGTAAAGTCCAAGTTCTCACTTGCAGCGAATTGCGCCTGAGATCACGTGCTTCACCCATACCACCCACGTGACTCCTCTCTGTCTTCCAACTTAATTATCACTTAAATCATTAATACTCGGTTCTTGTTCTTCATTATTTTTCCGTTTCTCACGCCAACGCTATGCGTTGACGGCTGAAGCAGTAAGACAATAATTTAGAAGTCGTGTGTTCGATCAACGCTACACCACACTACTTTAACAAAAATCTGAGTCACAAGCCTCATAACCTAAATTCCTTATATTTTACACAAGGTGGGAACAGTGGCGGAGGCAGAAAGAAAAGTTACAGGGGAAAAATATCACATTTACAGGGGTCAGAGGGGGGATCGAACTTGAATTCAGGGGGGTCAAAGACCACTAATCTACCAACTGAGCCAATTGTTCCTCATAGAATGTTGTACATTAAACTTTATTTAGCTATTTCACGTGGGTCAGCTGACCCACCTGGTTGTTCACTGGCTCCGCCACTGGGTGGGAACTGAGAGATGCCATGCAAGATGCTTGTGGTACATAAGGAGACTCACGCATGACGTATATATTTATGTGAAAATTGAATGTAACTGTTTCAAGAATTTTAGTTTTATACCACCGCAAAAGTGGCAGAAAAATGAGAATGGGTGCCAAATGTAAAAACCTTACGGCCAAGTGGTTACCCAAAGACACATGCATTGCTTTCAGTGAAAGCCTTTCACTGTCTATGCTCTCTTAACGTCTCTTCTGCACGGAATCTTCGACTTTCATGAGTCAAAACTGCCAAGATGATAGGTGTCAAAATTTTAGCTCTATGAAATATACCAATTTTCTAACAGAAACTAGGTTACTTTGTCACCTTACATAATGTCATGTCATGGAATCCCAATTTAGTAACCTCAATTTTGATATTCCATGTTTGGTCATGTCGATCAGATCATTGTGTTTTCACATAACTTTGCCGAAGAGTTAGTTATGCATACAAAATATTTAGATCTATACTGTGATGTCTTCTTTTGAATTGTATACCAATTTACAAGTACATTTATTAATTTGTTTTAAACTTACTCCAAAACTATTAATGAACTTAAAAAATTTCACAATCATTTAAATAGTATAACGAGCAATATACAGAAAATATGTATCTAACTATATCAGTATGTATTATATGTATATATTTGATAAAATATTTTATTTTGGATTAATTTATATATTGTGCATTGTTCTCGGACTGTTTATGGGAAATTCACAAGTATATATGATAATATTTTAACATTTCTTCATAGCAGGAGCCTCTATATAAACGGTGGTAATTGAGTGTATATCTTCAAGGTGAGGTCGAGAGCTTCTCCCAAAAGAGAGAGAGAGAGAGAGACCGAGTGTGAGAGAGAGATAGAGAGAGTTTGTGTGTGAGTGAGAGATAGAAAGAGTTTGTGTGTGAGTGAGCGAGAGAGAAAAAAAATTGGAGTGAAATTTAGGGTTTATCTCTCTACAAAACTTCCTCATCTTGAAAATCTCAGCTTCCCCATCTTCTGTTTATCTCTCTTCCGATTTTCTCCCGTCTTTCATTGAAAAAAAAATCACGATTTTCTTATAAGTGTTGATTAATGGTTTTTATTTTGCCAAAATTCATCAAAACGAGAAACATTAGAAAACCTATTTGAAACAATCAATAGTTTTCAAGAAAACGAGATCCATCTTTTGTTTTCCAGAAATTTATGAATTTTTCTGTTATTTAATATTCTTTCATTTTTTGTTAATGAATTTACAGAGTTGATCAACTTAATGGGCATTTTTTAGTTCCCTCAAGTTTGATCCTCTTTTTTTCTTTTTCTTGTTGATAAATTTATGTGGTTTTGATCAATGGAGGTTGCTTATTTCAAACCTCTTTGATCAAACTTATTTCTGTAGAAAACAAAAAACCAGTCTTTGAATTTTTGATAAAAAGACAGGTTTTAAATTTTATTCACCATTTTTTAGAAAAACTAATTTTAATTAATCTTTTGTTCTTGTAGTATATTTTTTCTTCTTTGGTGTTTCAGGAAAAATCCAATGGCGGATTTCTTCAGCAGCGGCCACGGCGGCGAGCTTATGGAAGCACTTCAACCTTTTTACAAAAGTGCTTCCGCGTCTGCTTCAGACTCTGCGTTTGCGTCTTCAAACGCTTCATTTGCGTCTGCACCAAGCGACCCATTTTCTTATTCTTTCTATAATCCTCAGTCTCAAAATGTCTCTTTCTTTCCCACCACCCAACCCGATTCCGGATCCTACCCGGATATTTATTCCGGATCCATGACCTATCCAGCTTCCTTCGGGTCGGATCTCCAACAACCCGATCAAAACTACCAATCTCAGTTCCATTACCAAAACGACTTCACTTACACTCACCAAGACAACCCTTGCATGCTCAACTTCATCGACCCGAATCCAGCTTTTCTAACCCGACCGGGTTCGGGTTCGGTTACAAAGCCAGCTAAACTCTATCGTGGAGTGAGGCAAAGGCACTGGGGAAAATGGGTCGCGGAGATCCGTTTACCCAGGAACCGAACCCGACTCTGGCTCGGAACATTCGACACGGCTGAAGAAGCTGCATTGGCTTATGATCGCGCCGCGTTCAAGCTTCGTGGCGACTCGGCTCGACTCAATTTTCCAGCCCTCCGATACCAAACCGGCTCGTCTCCGTCTGATTCCGGCGAATATTACGGACCTATTCAAGCTGCCGTTGACGCCAAATTGGAAGCTATTTTTGCTGAGCCAAAGAATCAGCCGGGAAAAAAGGAGAGAACGTCGAGGAAACGAGCTAAAGCTGCGGCTTCTTCGGCTGACCAGCCGGCGCCAATGCATCATTCCGGGTCGGGTTCGAGTGACGGGTCAAGTTCGCCGGTGTCGGATATTATGCTGCCGGAGATGTGTGCAGAGACGCCAATACCGTGGAATGATAATTTCATGCTCGGGAAGTGTCCCTCGTATGAGATTGATTGGGCTTCAATATTATCGTAAAAAAATTAGGATTCAATATATTATTTATTTAATTCAACATTTTGTATTTTGTGTTTAAATTCTCTAGGGGTCTTTGCTTATTTATCTGTGTCTATTTTCGAATTTGTGTGAATGCAAAACGTAAACTGTAAATTGTAAATTATGGACATCAGGAGTTTTTGTTTATGCAGCACTAACTTTATCTTGAAACTGAATTCAGTTTGGTTAATATCTAACTTTTTTCGATGGTTTCACTCTACAATCCACAATGCTTACATATATAAATAGAGATCAGGTATGAAGCCTTATATAGTTAAGGTTGGTTACTAATTAACATGATCACGAAGTTTAATTTCAAGTCAGTCAATAAAAGTTTGAATTCGATAAAGTTTGTGTTGATGCAACAAAGGATGAATCGTTTTTTTTCCTTTCCTTTCTAGCGAACCACGAGAGCCCCAAGAGTCTAGAGAAGCAAAGCTCAATTTCATTTCAGGGTCAAGAAACGCATAAAAAAAACGAAGGGAGTGTACAATTGGTTTTTCAAACCGCTTTCTTGTTTGTAACGAGAGATAAATTTGAGTTCTTCAAAGGAAGAAACAATCAATGTATATTGTGTCAAATCTAAACAGGTCATAAACTGCTATAAGAATCATTGTCATAGGGACAAAGCAAAAATGAACAACAACTTTTGCATCAATAACTTTCCTAAAACTGATTTTCGGTATTAGAAGAGTTTACTAGAGATCGATAATTTGAATTCAGGTGGTGACACAAATGTATGATGAAAACATGTCTTGTTTCAGTTTTCAACTTTTCATTCATTGAATCCAGACATTAGATTCATAAAGACTTAACTTTAGATTCATCAAACCCATAATGTCTACAGAAGACGAAAAGTCAAAAGAGAGAATTGTAACGCACGCGGGGATTGTCCACCAGCTGGGATTGATACAACCCAAGACATATCCCTTCACTTTCATTTAATACAGCGTAACGTATAAACCCAAGTACGAGCCATATCTTAATAGTATTAATAATTTAATATATATAGTCAGCTTTAGTAAAACGAATTAAATAAATAATACCATATTACATTTGACGAATTGACATTATCAGCCAACGTAAAAGGACGCCAAACCCCTCCTCAAAAAAGTATAAAAACATCTGATAAAACGTATCAGCTAAATTTACCAATTTCCATCTTCTTCTTGATCGCTTTTTGACCATGGTATATAAACGCATCTATTATCCCAGACACCGTGAACACACCTGCGTATTTGTTTTTCAAATGTTTTAATTTGGGATTTTGAAAGATGAACACAACATTTTTGTTTTTAAGAGGTAAAAATGTTTAAACTAAAAAAACAAGCTAATTCTTTCAACGTTTTTTTGTCTAGGATTCAGTTTTAGACTATTTAGTTAAGTTTCGTTATAACATTATGGCATGTTCTCTTAAGAGGACCAGAGAGATTACCTCCAACGATGGCACAAACATTCGTCAAGAAGTGCAAGAACGATATGTGTTCTTCTGTAAATGTAACCTGGTAACGATTATACCACATACATATTAGGATTCTGAATATTTTACTTTCGCTATCTGGAAATGGAGATAAAACACACAAACTCACTCACCTTGATTGGAGAAAGATCATAGAAGAAGAAAACGCCTGGTAAGGATTGTAGTTGACCTGCTTCTGAGGTCTTAACATGTTCGGTCACCGAGAACTGCCCCAATCAAAAGAAATTACTTAAGATCATAGAGAGGATAAGAATGTAATAGTTACAATAAGGCGGAACAGTTCAAGAGTATCGCGCTTCACCTGATTTGATTGAATTGTATGTCCACTGATATCTGTGTATACTGTTGGTACAACCTTTAAAAAGCACAGACAAAACAAAAGAAGAAAAGAGTAAAAACGGGTAAGTTCAAAGACAATATTTGACTATGATTTATCGTTTTGTCTTGGAACAAACCTTGATAAAATATTGGTACATAGCATTAGGTGTGTCTTGACTCCACTGGACTCTGCAGTTTCAAGTGACATTAGAGACCATAACAAATTAAACGGAGTGTGAATGGATAGACAAGAATGGTCATTACTTGTCAAGAGGGTTAACGACGCCAGGAAAGTAATCCCCATAAGTCAGTCTATTGATCTTGTGACTTATCTACAGGGAGAGACAACGACTGAATCATATGAACTTAATAAGTGTGACAAACGAAATGAAGCCAATAAGAAGAGTCCTTTCTTACGTTAAAACTGTCTTTCTGAAAAGCGAGGAGATCGTGAACGTGAACACCCGCCTGATGAAAACTTTTCCCAGGAGCGAAGTGGAAGTTCCCAGCCACCTTATTCACTTCCAAGAACCCATAGATATTACAACCTTCACCTTCTTCATCCTTTACTCTTTGTAGAAAACCTTCTCGTTTACACTGAATCACAAACAGACAAGTCAAACGTATTTCAGCTAGCAGTTGGAAGAGAGAAACTCTTCGGTTTAGAGCTTCACAAGGCTATCAAAAGCAAGGAGAAATGCTGCACTAAATTAACTCTCTCTCAAGAAATTAAAGCAAATGTTTCTGGAGTTTATCCTCAACCTCCTTACAAACCCTCGAGCTAACTTGCACAAGTATTCTTCTACTTCTATTTCTATTCCTCTGCCTCTACTTACAATGTCAATTACACGCAAAGACTAAACTAACTTTTCTTTATCTCTGAAACAGCTCCTCAAGTTTCATTATCAACATACAACATAAACAAACCGCACACATGCCTTTGAGAATCTAGTAGAGAAGATAATTTTAAAAGACGATGAACCTTATTTCTCAGCAATTCACCTGATCAATCAAATCTGGATTTGTAACACCCCAACCTTTCTTTCTATATGCTTCACGAACATCTTCACATGAATTGCAGCAGTCATGATCTTCCTGCAAAGTAAAACGACATATGTCAAATTTAAGCTCAAAGATAGAGGAAAGCCAGATTGAAAAAGCACCATCAAGATATAGCAAGATCCACTATAGCATCTGTTTTTGTTTAACTCATTATATATCTCTTGACTAGCACTAAAAAATCAAGGGTAATCCAAATATGAACTTGACAAACCATGCTCCAAACACAATACGCAGAAAGACAGAAAAAAGAAACGCAATTACCGCTTCAGCACCATAGCAAGAACCACAGTAAGTCTCGTTATGTTCAAGCCTACCACCATGTTTCTGCAGTGGGTTTTCAATCTGCACAAGCACAAAAAAGTATGAGACTTTACAAGTTCCTAAACAATAAACCAATTTCAGTTCTTGCTTTTATCCATTCATTCCGCAATTTCCCTGACGGGAAGATAAACGTAGCAGGAGGCTGCGTAATGACAAGCATGCTTTCAAAGTTTGCATTCAAGAAAATAGAGTAAACCAAACCTTAGTAGCGCCTATTCCCTCTTGCCTTGCTTCTATGGTGTTCCCATTAGAATCTAATCTTCTCTTTATAATATCATGTTTCTGCTCAATCCACAAAGAAACAAACAAAATTGGCCACACATTTGACAAGCATACATAATGTTTCAAGCAAAAAACAATTTCAACACACCACGTCAAGATGGAGCTCTCCACTAATATCCATGGCGTCAACACTGAGAATCGAACATGCTAATGCAGGAAAAGTGATATCAAACTGCAACAATCAAAGAAAATTCTGAGAGATCTAATGGAAAAAAACACTGAACAAAATTTTAGAAAACTGAAATTAGGTGAGAGGAAAAATCAAATAACATTACATTGATGCGTAACGTTTCTCCTCTTGAAGTGTCTACTATGAGTTTCGTCTCAGTGACGGTATGAAGATATAATCCTAAAAAACAAAATCAAATTCAAAAATCAATGACATACAAATCAAAATCATATTGAGAATCCGCGAAATTGGGTCGCATCACGTACGTAGCTCGGAGAAGAAGAGAAGAAACATAACAACGGAGGAGACGAGGGTGATAACGCCGCCGGACAAAGTGCGGCTGTAGAAGTCCTCGTTGATCTTAGGATAAGCATCCAGATTCCGCAATTTATTCAGGATCCCGGCCATTTTAACGCCGTAGCAGCCAACTCCGGGCACACGAGATTCGCAGATTTGTTTTCTAATCCAGCACCGAACCTAATTCGGCGCAAAACGACGACTAGGACAAGATGTTCCGGAGAAAAATCCAGAGGAAGAGAAACGTTCGTCGGAAGCGAAATTCTTCCGACGATGCGTCAAGAGAAGAATCCGGAGACAGAGTGATCGATGAGTAGTTTTCACTTTTCACGTTTGTTTGACTCCGTCTCGTTTCTTCACCGTCGGGACGGAGAAGCGTTTACGGTCTACGTAAACCCGGTTCGCGTTTGTCGTCTTTTCTTCTGAAGACCAAAACGCCGTCGTGTCATTTTCAAAATTTACAGAGGCTTTTTGAATTGGATCATAATTTGCTAACTATAAGTTTGGCCCATATCCGGTCTATCGTAAAATGTAGGATAAATTCAATTTCAACACTTATGGTGTGTCTATAAGCCAGTTTGAACTGCTTATTTTACATACCACAATTTCAACAAATCAAAGTGGCTTATTGACTCTTGTCAATGGAAGAAGTTTAATAGGACGTATGAAAGATATATTTCAGTCCCTGATCAGTCTATATATAAAAAATAGATCCAATGATTATTAATTCAAAATTATGTCCATGACAAACCAAATATTATACTAATGATTAAACAAAATAAGAAATCTCCACCCTTATAGACGGGTAAAAATCTAGTATTGTGAGTTCGAGTGTGATCATGAAATAATGTACTCCTCTGTTGGTTAAATCATTCATTATGGGGTATGGTTATCAATAGAAAAACTAGATGGTTTTTCTTCCTAATATATGTATGCAACAAGAGAAAAAACTTTATCAGATCAATTTGTGTGGAATATACTGTATATATTTTACAAGAGAAATACTAGATGGAATTTGGTGATCATCAAAGGTTTCTCATTTCAAGAGCCACA